TGCTTGGATTGGGGACTTGATGGATTAGGGGGGAGTGTTGGAGTCGGTGCTGTAGCGGCGTCGATTTTAATCGCACCAAGTCCCGCATCGCGCCATACATAGTTCGCGCTGTCCGCTATCTACGGTAATTTTCGTATAGTCACAACTCTCGTTTCCATACAGATACTACATTTCTTTCACTAGTAGTCTCCATTTCTGTAGATCTGACTGCACTCTAGAGTAGTGTCTACCTTACGCACTTCTGGTCCGTTTGGCGCCATTCCAGCGCCACATAGTGTATGGTCGTGTTAGCTAGTTCCCACGCGCTCTGTGCGCCGTCATCTGCGCCTGAGTCGACTCTGCAGTCCTTAAGACTTACAGAGCTCGACTTAGGTGTGTAGCACAGTTTCCTTGCAATGAAAGACTTACAGAGCTCGACTTAGGCCATTGTGACCCCTCTGAGGCCCACTGCAGCTAACAAAAACGGACATTCCAGCGGAGATAGGGTAGACGCTCGGAAAGCCATATGAGCTCTGGTGGGGAACGGAAAGGGAACGGAAAGGAAACGGAAAGGAAATCGGAACCAGTATGTAAGTATCTATTGGTAAGCAAGTCCGGTGGAGTTAGCGCGGTGTCCGACGGAGGTCCGGAGGGACTTAGGCATGGGATGTAACACATCCGGCCGGAAAGTATATACATAGAATTGCTACGCGGCCGGACACCGGCCGAAACATATGGCCCGGGTGAGCACACATTGAGCAGATTAGATGGATTCAAATAGAGACAGGAATAGCCTGTACAGGTTATACTGAGATGAGGGAGTGGGCTTGGGTAGATTTCGGCCGGACAGCAGATAGCTAAGTCTGTCACCCAGCCGGACACCGACCAGTGTCTGGCCAAAACATATGGCCTGGGTGAGTGCACACTGAGCAGATTAGATGGATTCAAATGCAGCCAGAAATGGCCCGTATAACTTATACTGAGACAAGGGAGTGAACTTGAGTGATTTTCGGCTGGACCACAAATAGCTAACTTTGTCACCCGGCCAGATGCTGGCCGAGATGCTACTCTGAGCTATGAGCAACCTGTTCTATTGTTTGTACAATGGCACCTGGGCTTAGCAGGCCCAAGGCTATCATATACACACATGTTCTATAGACAATACAAGCATATACAGTAGCAGAAAGGCAGGTCTAGGTAGGGCAAAAGTGTATAATGTTTGTGCAGCCCGGCCGGATAGCAGTTGCCCAAATGGGATAATCCCGGCCGAGGCCGGGGTTGTGCTAGTCTTGGGCATTTGTCACATCCAGGGGGTAAGCAACTCTATGAACACTTATGTAATGGGCTACCGCAAGACCGGAGTTGTATCCCTTGCTAGCGAAAAACGGAGAGATGCCGGTCGTGGCGTTCGGAGTATTGTTATAAGCGAACTCCGCGAGCGGAAGGAGACGGGCCCAGTTGTCCTGCTGATAGTTGCAGTAGATTCGGAGATATTGCTCGAGGGTTTGGTTGACACATTCCGTCTGGCCATCGCCCTCGGGGTGGTACCTGGAGGTGAAGTGGAGATTCATGTCGAGGATAGTACCGAGGGAGCGGAAGAAGTGGGACACGAATTCCGAACCACGGTCAGAGGTGACGTGGGACGGAACTCCGTGCTTGGAGAAGACGTGTTTGAGGAACAGTTTCGTGAGTTCCGGGGCATTGAGCATGTTGTGCGTCGGAATGAAGATGGCCTGTTTGGAGAGTTGATCGATGATGATCAGGATGTCCGTGAAGCCGTTGGAGTTCAGTAACTGCTCGATGAGGTCCATGGAGATGGAGTTCCACGGACGCTCTGGAATCGGAAGTTGCTTGAGTGTTCCGTAAGGGAGGTGACGGGGAGCCTTGGATCGCGCACAGGTGGTACAGGACTTGCAATAGTCCCGGACAAAGAGTCGGAGTCCGGGCTAGGTGTATTCCCGGAGGACCAGGGCTTGAGTCTTGTTCTGGCCCCAGTGACCGGCAGTCGGGTGGTCGTCGTAGGCCCGGAGGACTCGGAGGCAAAGGTCGTCAGAGTCCAGTACGTAGATTCGGCTGTTAAGCCGGAGGAACCCTTCTTCATCTTTGGACCAACGGGGGTTGCCTTCGGAGGCCAACTTATGGCTGCGGCGAGTTCTGAGGATGGGGTATCAGAGTTCTGGGCTGCTCAGATGTCGGAGCGGAGTTTCTCAGCGTCGAAGAGCACGGAGGCTCGGAGTACTAGTTTTCGGAGATACGTTGCTCGGAGGGACGCGGTGAGTTGCTTCTGGGTAAACACTGGCTGGAAATTGTGTGCGTTGACGGCAGAGTAGTCACTATCCCCCCCTTTTGGGTAGACGTCTCAACGGTGGGTGACTGCATCGGGCTTGACCCCAAGTTTTCTGGGACGGAACCGGATGACCAGGTTTAACTGCGACAGGAATTTCCACCACCGAGCCTGACGCCAGGTCAGCATCTTGGAGGTTGTGAAGTACTCCAGATTCTTGTGACCAGTGACAACGTCGATCGGAGTGCCAGAGCCTTTGAGGTAGTGCCGCCAGGTCCGGAAGGCTTCGTAGATTGACAGGAGTTCCTTGTTGTGTGTGTCGTAGTTCAGTTCCGCACCGGACAAAGTCCGGGAGTGGAAGGCGACGGGACGGAGTTCACCAGAGTCGGTAGTGATGGAGAGAATTCCGGCAATGGCGTAGTCCGAGGCGTCCGTTTCAATGGTGATCTGTTGGTCCGGTTCCCAGTGGCGGAGTACGGGGGCGGAGGTGAAGGCCCACTTCAAGGTGTTAAAGGCCTTCCGAGCATTATCGGAGAAGTTCCACGGGACGGATTTCCAGGTAAGCCGGGTCAGCAGAAGGACGATCTCGGAGTAGTTATGGATGAACCTCCGGTAGAAGTTTGCGAAGCCTAGGAACGACTGGATGTCGCAGACTTTTCGGGGTTCCGGCCAGTCCATAATCGCCTTGACCTTAGAGTCTGCCATGGTGAGGCCTTCGGAGGAGAGGATGTATCTGAGGCACTCGACGGAGTCCGCGTGGAATTCGCACTTGTCCGCGTGGGCATAAAGCTGATGCTTCTGAAGATGTCGGAGCACTTTTTGTACATGTTTTCGGTGGTCTGCTGGATTGTCGGAGTGGATGAGGATGTCGTCGAGGTAGACCACTACGCAGACCTCTAACAAGTCCGCGAAGACTTCGTTGACAAAGCGTTGAAACGCTGCAGGGGCGTTGGAAAGTCTGAAGGGCATTATGAGCCATTCGAAGGATCTGTAGCGGGTCTGGAAGGCGGTCTTCCACTCGTCCCCGGACGTGATTCGGACTAGGTTGTAAGTGTGCCAGAGATCGATCTTTGTATAGATCCGAGCCTTCCGGGGAGAATCCAGGAGGTCAGAGATCAGTGGGAGCGGGTAACGGTCCTTCCAGGTGATCTTGTTGAGCCCTAAGTAGTCAACGCAGAGTCGCAGAGACCCGTCCTTCTTCTTGATGAAGAGGACCGGAGCTCCGCACAGAGAATTGGTCGGGCGGATGAAGCTGGAGCGGAGGTTCTCGTCGATGTATTCTCGGAGGGTGTCCAGTTCCAGCTGCGAGAGGGAGTAGATGGGACCGAGCGGAGGTACCGCACCTTCCTTGAGGGTGATCTTGAGGTCGTAGGGGCGGTGCTCCGGAAGAGTGTCGGCCTGGGTCTTGCTTAAGATGTCCGCGAACTCGTGGTACTCCTCCAGAACGTTGGAGAGGTCCTGGACAGAGTCGGAGGTGGCAGAGTTTCTGGCAAGAACCTCAGCCGCCGAAGCAGAGGACAGATTGAGCGTGAAGCTCTCGGATCCCGGCAGCTTGCAAGCGCGGACAAATGCCACAGCGTTCACAAGTGAGACCTGCGGGGTAGAGGACGAAGACGGAGGTTCCGGAGGCGCCGGAGGCGGAGACTGGAGTTTGGGTTCATCGGATACAGAGACGGAAGGATGTACTGTCGGCGCGGTCCGGAATTGGATGCTGTGCTTCTTCCAGTCAATCAAGGGATTGTAGGCGGAGAGCCAGCTGTATCCCAGAACGGCGGAGACGGATTTGTCGAGCAGAGTGACATAGAAATTTACGAACATGATTTCCCCGGAGGGGAACTGCAGAGCAAGCGAAACTTCCTGGATAATTACCTGGTTGGAAGTCCCGTCGAATAACTGGAGAGCAATCAGAGAAACGGAGCGAGACGGAAGTCCAATAGTATCAATGAATTCGGAGTCCAAGAAACAATGAGTGGAACTGCTATCGATCAGGGCCTTGAACGGCTTCGGAGAGGATTCGGAGTACAGGTCGACAACAAGGGAAGAGGGGTCGGAAAGAGCGGATGCGTTAAGACGGACTTGGATCTCCGTGCTGGCGCCGTCAATGCAGTCCCTGCCAGGCACGGAGTTGGGGGAACTGCGGTCTAGTTTTTTGCCCCTTCCGGAGCTGGGGTTTCGGCACCCGGAGTTGGCTCAGCTTGAGCTGCTCTGCCCTTTGTTGACGAAGTCGTCTTCTTGGGGCAAGCACTCGCGGAGTGTCCGGCTCCTCCGCAGAAGAGGCAGAGGTTTCCTGCCAGAAAGCGTTGTCGCTCCTCCGGTGTGAGTTTTCCATCCTTTCCGACCTTGTCCGCGTACGGCTTCAGGGCAGACTTTTTCGCGGACTTAGGTTTTGAGTTGGCCTTCGGGGTGGAGCCAGAGTTGCTGAACTTGCCGTCAGAGGACTTCTGGGGTGCGCGAGGAGTCGACTGGGAGTTTGAGGACAAGCGGGTTTGGAGTGGTTAGACCCGGAGCTGCATCAGTAAAAGTGCGAAAATGTTGTCCAACCTTGCGGGTGTGGCCCGAAGTGACCATTGAGGCCCGGGGCGGCCCAAGAGCTCAATATGTGGGCAGGTGAGGCCCGCCCACCCAACACTCACAATACCGTGCAAGACCTGTGCTCAGATTGCCTGACGGCTCAGCATATGGCCGAGATTGTGTGCCCTTGCATGCCCGCACAATGGTTTACAGTACATATAGGTATAATAAGGAAATTGAATAATGGGAATGTGGTTTGTCGCCTTCTCAGTGTCCGCGCGTGCCTGCATAGTCGGCAAGTGATTTTTTCGAACTATGTTATGCTACCTATATAGCCGCAAAGTCTAAGCAAGCCAACTCCAGCTCATCGTCGTCCATAGGGGTCTCTCCCGTCGTGCCGCCACCACAGCCCGTGCACCTTGTCCCTGTGCATTTCAAGCCTGCCTATCAGGGCTAGGGAGCGTGCATCGTGCAGCGTATCGCTCCATCACCCAACCCAAAGGTGACTGTGTTCTTGTACCAGCTGAGCCCGCTGGTGCCCGCGTCGCAGATACGCAGACAGGCGGTGATGAGTTGGTGTGGTAGGAGGGTTGGCGGTGGATGTTGTGTGAGGGCGTACAGGAGAGCCCGGGCGTTTCGGGAAACCGGAGGTGATGTCGCTATGGTGTATACTGCCGAAGACAGAGGTGGTCTGCTCCTCGATCGCGTTGGATGCAGTGGGGACGATCCGATTCTTGCTTGGGATCGAGGGCGACGTGTCATCCATGAGATGAAACATGGTGAGCAGGTCTCCCGCGTCGCACAATGGGATGAATGTAGTCCTTATGTACGTTTCGCTCTGTTCTCTCCGACGTCGCTCCTTCGCTCCTTCTGAGCTTGGGGTTGAACGAGGGAGTAGATGAAGAAGCCACAGAACGCGGGGCGGAGTCTCGCACCCTGAGCTGCCGTCGTCGGCTCCGTATAAGCATTTCCCGAACGGCGGGTTCTCGAGTCCGCTCAAAATATGTTACCCAGAGCGGAATTGGAGCATCAGTTGAGTGGAGGTGGCAAGAGATTGCGGGGGTTGTGGCAGACGGTCCCGACTGCGACGAACAGCAGTGGGCACTCTGGCGGGAGACGTTCCGGATGGGATGGACGCGGGATGGCAAGACAATGCGTTCGAGTTCGTTGCAATGCGATTGTGATTGGTGAGCAGGCGAGAAGGGAGAGGGTAGGGATCTGGTAGAGAACAAAGGATGACTGCATGATGTTCCGGACGAGGACGGGGAGTGGCGAGCCGTCGCAACCACATCCCAGAGCTGCATCTCGCCATTCATTGTCCGCGCTGCAATGAGGTTCGGGCAGCTCGGCTACCATTCGATGCTGATCAGCCGCCCTCGCTGTCATTGCGGGGGCTTGCAGAGGTGCGAGATCTTCTGGGAGTTGAGCTCCTGATAGTAAACATCGAAGCCGCAAGCCACTGCGATCGTGTTCCGTGCGGACCACGAGATCGGGTAGGCGAAGAGATCGGAGGAGATGCCAGGCCCGTCCAGAACGAGGATGGACTGCTTCCGCGACCCAAGGGACGCCTCTGCGGATGTTGACGGAATGACATGCGGCATTTTGAGGAGTTGAAGTAAGTTCAAGCAATGTCGGTTGAGGCACGAGTTGTTTGACTTCTTGTCGGTGTTCGTGTCGGTGAAGTTGAGGACGCAGTCGTTGGCAAGGCCGAAAAGCTTGGCTATCCTCTGTGTGCGCAGCATGGTCAGGATTATACGTAGAGGTAGTATCAAGTCAATAGATACAAACTCCGTTGTCCTAGCTACATGGCTGCAAAGCCCATGCGAGCCAACTCAAGCTCGTCATCGCCAAGCGGGGTCTCCCCATCCTCAGACCCCAGGGCGGCATCATCATCATTGTCCTTGCCCTCCCCTTCATTGTCGTCCTCTAAGTCCTCATCTTCTTCCCCGTCGTTCAAATGTTCGTCCGCATCACTGTCCTCACCATCCGATCCCAGCAAATGCTCCTGCGCGTCGTACCAAGCTTCCGTTCCCACATTGTCAGCCTTGTCTCCAATCTCGTCATCGTAGCTGTCGCCAGTAAGTGGGGTGATAGGCTCTGGTGCAACCAGTGCAGGGTGCCGCTTGCCAGGCTGACCGCGCTGGTGTCCCACTGCGCCGCCGTAGTACTGCATGAAGATGTCGCGATCTGCAAAGCTGCCAAATGATGTTAGTACCACAAGTGAGATTGGCTATGATTTCTGGCGCAATCGTCTCCCAAACATCATGAACCTCATCGAACAGTGCGATAAATACTCACATGCCGACATAGTGGTAGTTCCAGTCAGTATCTTCTTCTTCCTCTTTGTGCGCGACACTGTAACCAGGAAGTGCCCTATCTGACTGCCCGTGTGCGAATGCTGGCATCAAGTGTGCACCACGAAGAATCTGGTCCGGAGATACAAACCTGAATGCGTTGTCATCCAGTGCCGCCCACCTGAGGCGGGAGAGACGACACACCTTGAAGCCACCGGGTGCACGATGGTCCAGGTCAAACCACCTCACCTAGAGGACGTGGATAGTATCTGTGTCAGTATCGTCCGAACCATCCAGGCTCTCACCTGCTCGGTAGGCTTCAACGTGGAATATGCCGATGATCCGCGCATAGAGGTATGGATGATCTGAACCTTCGGGGGCGAGCATCATGACATTGGGGTGTGTCCGTGAATTGATGGAGTCTTGATCGTGTCGCATGTCGTACGTTGTGTAGTTTACGCGAAGAACTTTGTGCCGATACAGCTTGTTGCGCTCAATCCTCACGGAGACGATGTCATCCAGCGTGAGCTCATAGTCTGGTGACAGCCCTTCGTTGCCTGGCAACCGACGGAACAGATGCGCCTTGAGTTCCCATGTGAAGTTCTGTGAGTGTCAGTTAGTAACAGCATGAATGTTCATTGTCGTGAAGACAACAAGCGATGAAATGGCAAGCGGATGGCCGCCACGGCGGATTTCACATACCTCACATGCTGGATCTCCGTTGTTCTCGAAAAGAAAGTCGTCAAGTGCAATGGAATAGCGCTTGTCATTGGAGATGTGGTAGTGTTGCTCGGGCTGAGTGGGCGGCAGGGGCCTGCGAGTTTTCGAACTGAAGGTGGAGCCGTCGTCTCTGGGAGGGTCGAGCTTTCTTCTGGTTGCGGCGAGACTTGACAGGTTGCTCATGCGACTGTGCGATCCTGATGATGATGTTTGCGCGATGAACTTCCAAGGTGATCTGGCGTCCGAACGTCCGATTCTTGTTCGTTCGTCTGTAAAATTGCTTGACGCATTGGTGTTCGAACTCGCCCTGTGCAGGAATCAGGTCAGGTAAGCGGCCATGATTGCTTCACATACCACTTGGGTCGACATATTATCCGAGGTTCCCATGTCGACAATGCTCCGAGGGTAATCACCAAGGCGGTGGTATTTGGGGGTGTTCAGCACGTTGAACATCTTCAGTTTGGCAGACCCAGCGGGAGCCCGAGCATTCTGTTCGGACGCTGTCACACTTCTAGCCCTGTGGCGCTGTCGCGACTGCGTTTCTTTGGGGAGTTTTTGTGTCAGATAGTCAGAGCAGACGTGCCGAAGAAAAGCCTGCATGGCCTGGCCGAGAGTGCTGGTAGACGACTCGAATGCTGTCAGGGTGGTATCTGAATGTAGCTATAATTTAGCGAAGGCATGCCACATGGCAAGCTCGAACAGCATTGTAAGAACAATGTTGTTCGCTCGGCCCGGAAGTAAGTTCTCGAGACAGGGAATGGAGCACTGTGCTGTACGTTAAATGGATGTCACAATCTGTAGGGTAAACATGAGATACCTTGAGCATCTGCTCAAAGTTGCGCGCGGCCATCTTCTTCAAAGCTGAGACATTATCCACGAAGCGATGTATGGTTGCGTGGCCAAAAGTCGGTGTCATTGAGAACCTATATGGTACCGTCAATGATTTCTAGAAGAGTGAGAGCGTGCTGGTCTCACCGTTCATCGAGTTTCTGAACTTTGTCCTGTCCCGCGGCGATCAGAATCTGGACGAGATGCGTGAACGTTCCCTTCCAAACGCCGAGCTCGAACTCGTGCATGAGATCGGGAACGAAGAGCTTGTAGACGTTGTAACCGAATGACGCAAAATGTTGCGAAAATGCGGACTGTTTAACAGGAGATCAGTTCGACAGATCATCAATAAGACGTGCAACGTACGCGAACGGAGGCCATTGAGAAGACGCCAAGCTGAGTCTTCGCTATGTGAGTGCTATCTGGTGCAGTACCCTCCTCAAAGATCCATCGTCGGGCCCTGGCAATCGCTGCGTGAAAAAACCCCGTGTCCTTGCGTGCGTTCTTCTCTCGGGCTGCCATGTCTCTCTTCATGCCCATCCGCCAGAAATTGCACTTGTCAGTGGTGCAATCCGGGCAGGCGCATCGCGCAAGAGTCTTGAGACAGGTGACGAGGCACCTGCCCAAAAACCCAGTCAGCTATTATCAAAAAACCTCACAAATGGGAGCATACGTACTTCTCTGGGTAGTTGGCCAAGTATATGAATATGCGAGGGAATACCCTTCGGGTGATACCGTCGCCACAGACAATGAGCGTTCCGTGTGTGAAGGCATACATGAACTCGGCGTCCAGCAGGAGAAGCCACACCTTATTCATAAGGTCATACTTGAGTAGCCGTATAACAGCGGCCGATGGTGGTACGCCATACGTCTCCTTGTAGAACTGGAGGAGTGCAGCAGGAATCTAGCGGCGTGAAACATCAGCAACCATCACCCGAAGGCATGAAAAATGGCATGAGTCTCTGTCAATGTCGTGGACTCACAGATGGTACATAAGCGAGATGGTGCGTGGCAAACATCGATGGTTTGAACCACAAATACTCTGACAGGTTCTTGGGGAATGCGTAGATGGGCCATAGGGATGCCGTGCCAAAGTTCGTTAGGTGGGTCGAGTCCGAGTAAACCATGATGCTACCTATGACGTACTCGACATTGGGGGCATCATCGGGATTTCGGGGACGACGCTGAAGCTCCTCATGCTCGCGTATCATGGCTTCCGAGTTGTAAATGTCCATGAAGAGACGTTCTGGCTTCGCATTTGAGTTGTCCGGAGTTGCACGAGAGCGGAAAAGCCGGTGAGGGAACCAATGGAATTTGCGAGCAGATACGTCTCAAAATCCAGCCAAGACAACTTCGAGCAGACTGCGAACCCAGATGTTGTCGACCACAAAGGCGGGGGCATGTTCCTCGTCCTTCTGTTGCAGGCCTGGCTTGGGAAGGTGGAGCCTGACTGAAGCGCGACGCCAGCCATCTTGTACTGAAAAAGCGCCCCCAGTCATCTGGTATTCGTCGTCGACACGTCGCTGCTCACGCTCGATGTTGAATCCTATGAGCTCCTCCTTCTGAAATCGGTCGTCCAAGAGCACGTCGTCAACCAGACGCTGCAGCTCCCCCCCGGATTTCGTCATGGAGCCGGAGTATTGCCATTCCATAAGCTTGAATATCGACCAGTTCAGAAATGGCGCGAAAGAGTTTGCTGCCATCTCCTTCGCGTTGGAGAGTCAGACCCGGACTGTGGGACCGAAGGGTCGTAAAGCGTCGTGTTCAGACGCATCTGGAGGGGTGCGCAGATGCGTGCTTGCATCCGAAAAAGCTTCAAGCGAGAGATTGGCCTCGGGGTCGCTGCGAGGGGCTGAAGTGTACTGTCGAAATATGCCGAAGCGGTTCAGCAGTGTGTTTATGGGTGGGGGCGAAGCAGGCGGTGAAGGCGAATGGGGTGTAAAGTGCTCAATTCCCTCCATCTCGTCTTCGGAGACATCCTCCAAGACGGTATCGCGTGGGCGAGGTGATGGCCCAGGAGATGCAGCACAAGGAGGACTAGGGGGCGCATCGAGACCTGACCGGAGGTCAGTCGCTGCACGGACTCCTGGCTTGAGCACAAAGTCTGGGAGGCCTTTTAGAGACGTGGGGAGGAGGTCTGCTAGCCTAGCAGGTATATGACGCTGCCGCCGGCCTTCAGCGATGGGCGCGAGCGTCACTGACACGCTGGCTTCACGTTCTGCCTGCACAAATAAGGTCAGCAAAGGATTCGTGTCTAGCAAAGCTCGGAGAAGAGTCCAGGAGGCGTGAGGCGTTACTTGCGAGATTAGGAACGTAACTCGGGTAGTGCTCGTCGCGAGTGTGTGCCGGTGACTCTGGCCTACTTACCTCAAGCTGAGCTCTCCTTGCATTGAGCCTTCCCTTCTGAGCAGCCACTTTTGCGCACTGCTCCTCCGCCTTTTTCTTAGCGAGGGCCTCCCGCACTTGGATTTTTTTCCCTGTGATGTCGACGCGTTGCCGGAGCCCGCCATCGTAGAATTTGTGTGCGCGCGTGCAGCTTTCCAGGTGAGAGCTGAGATTGGTGAAGTCTTGCTTACATCCGTAGCACTTCTCCTTTGGCATCAGAGAGATGAGTAAAATCAGTAAGAACAGGAGCAACAGCACGCGCATACAGGCAACGTGAATGGTGAGAGGCAAGGCAACAAAGAAGACATTGGTTAAGTTGCTCGCTACCAACGTGAGCACGTGATCGACGCGTCAAAAGCGTCAAACACGTTGATCGCGTCGATTGCATTGATCACGTAGGCGCGCAGACGCATCACATTCCTTTACTCTGTCTACACCATAAAGACCATGCTCGCTCAAGGAACGTCAAATACTCATCTTTCCCTCGACACACCACCATCTCTTTGCTGCCATGCCTAAAGAGTCAGCGAGTAAGACGAACAAGGGCAAGGTTCGCAACCTCCGCAACGTCCCGCCACCGCCTCCGCTCCCTACTAAGCGTGCCCGACCGCTGCGCGGCAATCACGCTCTGTACGTATATAACATGGCGCATATATGCACCTTGACACTATTTTATTCTATGCATAGACCAGTTGTCCCCCTGCACACGACCCCTCCAGCACCAAAACACCCAAACCCCGATCCCGGGGCCGGGCCCAGCAAGAAAAAAACGAAGGGAGTACAGGATGCCGCCCCGGCTGATAGCCATGACCTTTATCAACAGTTGCCCGAGCAACTCAGATCAAGCCAGCGCACGTCTCACCGTGTCCAAAACGTCTCCTCACCGGATGCATCGTCTCCTCTATCTGATCCTTCCTCATTGTCCGATCCCTTCTACTCTTCGACTGCCTCTACTCGTAACAACTCCTCGTCCCACCCATCGTCCTCATACATGTCGACACTCTCCTCTCCAGCCTTGATCGCCGCCACTATTGAACGTATCAGGGCTGCTAATCAAGGACGTACCATTCAGAACAACAATCCTCAGTCCCCCGATGACACTTCTGGCAAGAAGGCACAGACACGACACACGCTCCTGGAGCCCGCCGCAGAAGACGAGACAAGCGAGGAAGAAGAAGTGGAAGAAGGCTGTGATGATCTCATCAAGGAAGACACTGAGGAAGACAGGAAGAACACCGTCGACGACACCGAGGAGGTGTCACCCACGGACGCCCGGCGGTTCATCAAGGCCATCCGCAAGAGCAAGAAAAGCAAGTTTCATGTAACGTACGGCATCATAACTACAGTAATGGCTGGTCCCGACTGTTCCTAACGTTTTACAGCTCCAGTGATGCAGATCCGAAACAACTCACCGAACACTTCAAGACCTGGGGACACCATTGCAACCGCCTGTGTGGCCTCTATACTGACATTCACAAGATGATCATCGTCGGGATGACCGTCTTGCGGGCGGATCCCCGCATTGAGGAGGAATACAAATCATGCTACAAGGCCATCCCAAACATGTATGTATTTTTTGCATCACCATCTTCTCCTCTTCTCACGCGCCCTCACAGGAGTGCCGCCATGGCTAAACTATATACTAACAACTTTTTTCATCTCTGTGACGAGGTTCCCAAGTTCATGACGCTCTGCAAACAAATCATCTCCTCCCCCGAGGACGTTTTTATTTTTGCTAAATATGTACGTACCCCAAGCACAGGTTTTCGAAACTAACCTCGCACTCTGCAGATGCAAGTTCATGCCGCCGCCGGCTGCACGACTGACATCTCGACACTCAAGACCAGTCTGCACTCTTATTTTCCTTACGTCGTCGTATCTCAGACTCGCATCATCCCTCCGCCGGGACCCGGGGTGCTCGCAGGTCACAAGAACCGCAATGGCGGTTATTGCACTACTGGGACAGGCAGGCTTATTGTGCCTATTGATGAGCGCTCAGCATTTGATCAAGATCCCACTGAGTATTACATCGTTGTACCTGCGTTCATGCTGATGTCAATCCCTCCTTACAGGTACTGCAAGAAAAAAATTGGGCAGATTAAGCAAGTTGCGAACCGCACTGTACGGCATAAGAAGCGCCACCAAGCAGATCGACCCGAGCATCGTGACGACAACAAGTCGTACCCTAATTACCTGTTCCCGACCGACCTCAAGTACGACCCTGCCTGTTCCCAACACCACATCTTCAAGAGTGATTTCCTTGTCGCGGTACGTATCCATTGCCTACCGGAAATCTGTACTGATGTTCTACTAGATATTCCGACACCTATTCTAGGGGCCATCAGCAGTAGGGCGCCAGAATGGTTCACGCGGCCTCGGTCGTAAGACCATAATCGACATCTATAGTATCACTAAAGTGACCCCCGACTATTTAACATACGTCACAAGCTTGGTACGTCTCTCCTTATGACGAAACTATTGTTCTAACAATATACTGATTATAGATATGTTACCTTCTGAGCAATGAAGACCGGTGGAATGGGGGTGACGCACATTGGACTGGGCACCGCTTTCACACCGCCCTCCATAGCCATCTCACTGTCGAGTTCCAGGCATGGGAGGAAGATGTCGACAATGACGACTTTGAGCAATCGGACGAACCTCTGGATTGGAACATGTTTGCATACTTCAATGAGTCAGTCTAGTGCTCTTCGAGAACATATGAACACTAACTTTCACACAGCAAGGTCTTCGGGAGCGAGGCTGGTGCCCCGGATCAGCAGAACCCGGACAAATCCATCGAAGACCTTGGCGACGACCAAGACGATATCCGCACGCAAGCCTTGAAAGCTCGCATGGCTGAGCTTGACGCACGTTGCCAGCGGCGCAGGCTGGGTATCCGCGATGCTTCCCCACAGCGCACAGAGCAACACCAGCCTCGGTCGCAATCGCCCGAAGTCGTTGAAACAACTTCGGAGGTCGTGGACGTCACTGAATATCTTAAAGACTCGGAGCCCCCTTCCGACGACGCCGGTGGTTGGTCGTTGCTATGCTGATCATGTTTTCCCTTTCAGTGAAGCTCGTTTACTTATGGCAACCACCGATGTCGTCGTAGCCGACTCAGTTAAGCTTGTTTGCTTGCGGCAACCACCGATGTTGTCGTAGCCAACTTTGATGATCAACCCCTGCCTCTCGTGCTCAGGCTCTGTGCTATCGCGCTGTTCTGCTCGCCGCTTTTTGGGCTTGGTGGCATCGTCCTCGTCTGCATTCTCATCACTGGTCTCGAACACAATGGCGTCCTCGCCGACACCGTGGCAAACAGGCGTAGCGACATTGTCGACCTCCTTGAAGCTAGGCTCGCCCCGGCGCTCCAGAGCTTCAAGGTTGTAGCCGACTTCGAACTGGCTTTTAGCAGGCGCATCACTCATGTCTCATCGGTTGAAGTCTTATACGTGTTCCTCATGTGTATCTCTGTCTTGGTCTGCAATGCAATTGCTCTCTCCCATGTGTCTTACGAGTCGGCGTTTCGGATGTCTGTATGGAGGGATTCGTGGATTATCCCAGAGTGTATATATTGTGCCGCAATGTCTCCTCACATCGCACAACCCCGAAAACCTCAGAAAAAGTCCTCAATACCTCACACTCACCTCAGTTACTCGCCCTGTACCTCCCGGTATTCTCGACGCTACCCCATCTCACAATCCCTACAATTCCGCGCTACACGACAAGCTGCGAGGCGCGATTGTTGGGATGGCATGCTCATGCCACACCCACAATACCGGGCGATATCGGCAATATATTGTCTATGTTGCCCGGTATTTTGCGATGTTGTCCTGCCTGCCAATCAAATCGGGCCTATAGGGAGAGAACGGAAACCTGACAAGGGGCTTCTAATATTAGTCGCTAGGTACATGATATTCCTTGGCTTGCCCGAGTAGGCACGGACAGGTAATATGCAGCAATACTTTTACACTTTTGCTGATGTGGATTTGGAGCCAGACTTGGAAGAACCGGAAGTTTCGCGGTTGCGCTCGGCCTTCCACTCCCAATACCAGTGGTCCAGGCTCTGGGCGAGGATATGGAGGTCCGAGAGGTTGTCGGGCTTGCCTATCTTAGAGATGCGGTCCTTGAGGCGGTCCGGGAGTCCACGGTAGAACTGGTATTGGAGGGGGTCGTGACCCTAGCGGACTTGCGTAGCAATGCGACTAAACTAGGTGATGTACTTGGCGATCCACTGGTTTTCCACCATCCGGAGGTTCTCGAGCTCATTTTCCACGGCTCCGGTGGCATCGTAAGATCCGAAGTTTATCCGGAGTTCTTCTTGGAACGCCTCATAGTCCGACATGAACACCGGCGGCATCCGGGAGGAGTTCTCTAGGAGGTAGGGTTCGAACTACTAGAGAGCGGTGTCCTTCAGGAAGGAGATCGCGTAGGTGACCTTCTTCTCATCTGTGTTAAAAGTCCGAGGCCGGGCCTTGAAGACCAACTCCAGCTGGGTGAAGAACGACTGGAGCTTGGCGGGCTCCGACCCGTCGAATTGGTCTGGGTCGCGGACATTGTTCTGTTCCGAAGACATTGCTGTTTGATTGAAGTTAGCGGCGGCCGGAATCTGGAGCGTCTGAGCAAGGAGGCTGATAGCCTGCGCTAAGTCCACGGTCGGTGTCAATGATGCTTGCGGAGTTGTCGTCGGGTTTACAGGCAGGTTCCCCGCAGGTCCGGCCAGAGGTTGCCTCATGAACGTGGGGATGGCGAAGAGGTTATTCGGAGAATGTCGGGGAAGAGGAGTGGATGTTGGGTGTGGAGTGGTGGGCAAGGACCGGGTCACAACGCGGTTTCGGGTCGAAGATTCCGGAGAGGAAGTCTGAGGCAGGTTAGGAACGCATCGAGCCGTGAAGTCCCTGAAGGTTTCGTCGGAGTCGGACACCGGGATCTCAGGCTGAGTTCGGATATACCATTAAGACTGTGCCGCCGGAGTTCCGGAGTTCCGGGGTTCAGGGTCGGAGCTGGGTGGACATGGGGGGAGGACTTCGGCGAAGCTATTAGCAATGTCCTGAAGATTCCAACGGTGTCCTCAATTTTGAAATCGGAGATCGGGTGGAGATCGGACGGAGATCGGACGGAGGTCGGCAGAGAACGGACAGAGGCAGGGAGAGTAGATTGAAGTAAGATAATCGATAGAGTACAAGCGGAGCGTAAGGTAACGAGATATCCGAACTGAGGAACACCGCACTAAGTCCGGGGGTTTATATACTAAGAAACCGGTGTCTCCTAAGTCCGAATTGGAGGTGGAGGTCTGATCGGAGGTGGCGGAATACCGACGCTAAGTGGAAAAGTGATGTAAGTGGCGCCAGGCACTGATATGGGAAAACGGACATTCCAGCAGAGATAGGGTAGATGCTCGGAAAGCCATATGAGCTCTGGTGGGGAACGAAAAGGAAACAGAAAGGAAATTGGAACCAGTACGTAAGTATCTATTGGTAAGCAAGTCCGGAGGTCCGGCGGAGTTAGCGCAGTGTCCAACGGAGTTCCAGAGGGACTTAGGCATGGGACGTAACAGCTATTGTCCGTGTGCAGATAAAGGGAAACTATAACGAGTAGTGAACAATAAGGGAACGTACAAGGCAGTGGTCTGAATCGAAAAGAAAACGTAGCACTGTAGGGGCAGTTCGTGACAGTCGCAGGCTTCAAGCCAGTAATGTAGAGCTGGATCATCGGATCCATGTTGGAAGGGAGCTTCGCCATGAGCATCATACCCTTGATGTGGTCGGCAATGACGAACTTGTTTGTCTCAAGACGTTGGAAATACGCCTCAAACTTGTCCGTGTTGGGAACAGGGTTTGAGTTGGCTGGAACAGTGAGAGCAAGGGCAGCTCAGAGGTCTCGGTAGACAGCCGGCACACCAGGCTTACCGTAGGTGGTCTCGAGATAGTCCCAGATCCCCTTGGTAGTCGTCTGAGATGACACAGTGCTATTAACGCTGGGGGCAAGGCGAAGGCTGATGTTGCCTTAGGCCTTAAGGTCGGCATCAAGCCAGACCTTTGCTTCTTCAGCATCAGCAGGCTGGGTGTTGATGATCAAACCCCACTGGCCTTGTGCCTTAAGATATGACTTCATTGGCTGCGCCCACTCGAGGTAGTTGCGGTCGTTGAAGACAGTAGGGACAGCACTGTAGAGAGCACCAGACATAGTGTCAAGAGGTATGGTTCTGGAAGGGAGACTTGTCAGCCACACGCCTTCAAAGAATGTAGTTGAGGCAGAGAGAGATCATGCCGACATAGGTTACCTCTCTGTGGCACTGTAGGCAGCAAGAAAGCGCGCCACAACAGTCCACAGTGCAGGCATGGCAGGCAGTGTATGATTGTGCCAGATCCAAGCAGTGGTTGCACATTGATAACAATGGCAAAGATCTAGGTGAGCTGCGAGCTTACAGATTGCAGCACGCAATAAGCGGTGCAGGTTCTGCAGCATCGAGCAGGGCTCATAACCTGTTGAGCCTGGAGGGCGAAAGCCTTTCCCACGGGTGGTGATGACAGCGGATAGCCTGCAACTCACCTAGAAGAGTTGTTGGTTGTAAGAGGCTTATTAGAGCGATGAGAGGAGATGTTCGAGTGAACTGAACTGTAAATTGGGGGTACAGGAGTCCCCTATATATACTACTGTACATCTGTGGCTACGTAGTACTATACAGAGAATGCACAGTCGCACAGAGAAGCAGTGCATACACAGCAAAGCTGTGTGCGTACCACATGAGTAGTACAGCCTTAGTTATTGCAGTAACCGGCTGTGCCGTTCCATATCTTGTAACGGCTGTGTTGGGCAAGCTGTGTAAACCAGCGCCTGTTCAATATAATATCCTTGCACCTGCACTACCCCTGAATTTCAGATGATCAACAGATTTATGAAGTCACTACCTCCATTGTTGTAGAAGATTTCCTGAGAAAAGCAATTGTGTGAGCAGTTCACAGTAAGACATTGCATACCTATTATGACAGATCCTCCTGAATATTAGCTATGCACATATTTTGCACTCATATAATTCATATCTTGGCCTTTTAGAGGTAATATACAAAGGGAGGACCAGAATACTCGTTGAAACGGTGGGACAAGTGGTCCCTTGCTTTTTGGGACAGGCATTTACAGTGCTTTGCAAAAAAGATTGCAGTGCGAAGCGCACAAATCCGGTTTGCCCCTGATTGGTTCCCCGTCGGCTACGGTGAGGATTTCTGTCTTGGGAACCGGGCGCTCACAAGAACTCTGTCCGTCAAAGCCGTGCTTTACGGCAGGGAACCAGTTGTTTTTGATTATCGAAAAGGCGGTGAGAAGGGGATGCAATAGTTCACCCTCCTTGCCATTATTGGGCAACTTTTTGCGCCATTACAGTGATTACTACTGGAAGAATTTCCCACGACTTTTGGCGTGGAGAAAACAATGCCTGTTGCAAACGCTTTCCGACCATCGAGAAGTGATCAGGTTGTTTACCATTATGGCGACTTTCTGCCTATTCTATACATCATTGGATCTCTCAGGCCGTATATCACTGGAGGAAGTGCCCTAGAAGACAAGTAGTCAATTTGCTCGGATGGCCAAAAGGGGTTGGTGTTGCACGAAATAGGTGGCAAGTTACCATGATGGTAAATGCTACGACCACTTTTCAACGGTCGAAAAGCTCTGAGAATGGGCATTGATTTCGCCATGTCAATACTTGTGGGAAACTGATGAGGTAGTGTACCATTTATCAGCCCGAAAACTTGTCCAATAGTGGCGAAGAAGGAAAACTATTGCGTCCCCTTCCTTCTGCCTTTTTGAGGGTCGAAAACATCCGGTTCCCTGCCGTGCTTGAGTCCGGGCCCGCTTTCCTACTGCCAAAATGCACAACGATGTTGTTTGCCTCCGCAATATAACTTTCTGCATATACTCGGTAGGGTTGTAGCTGAACAATCGACCATGCTGCAAAGAGGCTCCCGGCATTGCGGGCGTTTCCCCGGGTGAGCAAACAGAGGCAAACAGGATTTTGCGCGCTTCGCACTGCAATCTTTTTTGCAAAGCACTGTAGATGTCAATTACCCATATCGGGTCTCGGCTAACGTCGGCTTGATCACTGTAGCCGAGTGCCCCGCATTTGGCAAGCGAGCGATGTTGGGCTTCACGTTCCTTCCCATATTATGGGCCTACCGCTCTCACCAAGGCAGCGAAAAACCTGACTGTCGAGTGTATCAAAGAGGAGAGCCGTCTGCGTCGATTGACACCAATGTCGAGGGACTTTGTGTGGAAGGACCAGTGCTAGCATCGCTGCAGAGCTTTCAAAGACGAATCGAGCGGCTAGTCTCGGCTAGCCCATCGACCCGCATCATGTCTCCAGCGACCGGTGGCCTCAAGGATTGAGCACGGCCTGTTGCCATGACCTGGCGCTTCACGATGGGACCAGCCGGTTCGGGTGCTAGGATCGATATCAGCGGATCTCGGCAGGGGACGAGCATAGCAGCGCCTCATCGATCGAGGGTCTTCTGGCAGTGCTCAGACAAAGCCTCCTCTAATACCCGTCCTCCTCTCATCTCACCTTACACTTGAAAGCTCAGGCAGTAATGCAGCGACACTCTTTCATCGCTCTCAATTCCACGTTTATCGTCGACTCGGAGTATCAGTTCGTCAAGGAGTTAGGCCAGGGTGCGTATGGATGCGTAGTCGCGGCCAAGCATCGTCGGTCTGGAGAAGGATGCGCAATTAAGAAAATAACCAACATCAACACCAAGGTCTGTTATCCCAACGTCGTCCCAGACGCTTGCTAACAGCAGAATGGCTCAGAGAATCCTCACTAAACGATGCCTGCGTGAGATCAAGTATGCTACTTCCAGCCTTGTACACATAGATCGATCGTTAATATTCCCTCAGGCTACTGCACCATTTCCGTGGCCACAAAAACGTTAGCGGTTCCTACCATATCGTGATCACTCCCGCCAACAAATGCTCCCTGTCAGATTACTCTCTTATACGACATGGACATCGTCTTCCACCCTGACGGCAACTTCGACGAAGTCTACCTCTACGTAAGCGATTAACTCTTCTATAGCAGACCAGGGCCCTGAACGTCCCACAGGAAGAGCTCATGGAGGCTGACCTTCATGCCATCATCCGCTCTCAACAACCGTTGTCGGATGCGCACTTCCAGTCCTTCATATACCAAACCCTCTGTGGGCTGAAGTACATCCACTCTGCCAACGTGCTGCACCGCGATTTAAAACCCGGGAATCTACTTGTCAACGCTGATTGCGAACTCAAGATCTGCGACTTTGGCTTGGCGCGTGGATATAGTCCCAGCGGCGGTAACAACAATGCTCGCGGTACCGCGAACCAAGGTTTCATGACTGAGTATGTTGCCACTCGCTGGTACCGTGCCCCCGAGATCATGTTGAGCTTTGCGAACTACGTAAGTTGTCAATGGCTTCTCAGATTCCTCGATCACAATTTCACGCTGTATGGTAGGGTCCTGCCATCGACGTGTGGTCTGTGGGCTGCATTCTCGCGGAGCTGCTCGCAGGAAAACCGATCTTCAAGGGACGGGAGTAAGTTATCGCAAGATTTCATGAAGGCGGTTCGATCTGACCGCTCGCATCGATAGCTATGTCGACCAACTAAACCAGATCTTACATTATCTCGGTACGCCTTCGGAAGATACGCTGCGTCGTGTCGGTTCTCCTCGCGTAAATATCTTTCCGGCGCTGCACCTCCTATTGAAAACTCACATGTCATCGCGTAGGCCCAAGACTACATTCGTTCTCTTCCCATAAAACCTCGCGTGCCTTTCGCGACGCTATTCCCCCGTGCAAACCCTCTCGCGATTGATCTCTTGTCACAGCTCCTCCACTTCGACCCGGCCAAGCGTATCACTTGCGAGCAAGCATTGAACCATCCATATCTTGCCGTTTGGCACGACCCGGCCGACGAGCCTGTCTGCGCCTCGGTAAGCGAACTTACCGTCAATCGGTTCATAGCCCTGACTTACTCATGTCTCACAGCCATTCGATTTCGGCTTCGAGGAGGAGGACTCTATTGAGGGGATGAAGCGCCTGATCGTCGAAGAGGTCCACGCTTTCCGTGCTGAAGTGCGTGCCCAAGCGCGTGCGGCAGGTCAGATCCGTAGACAAGAGAGGTTCGTCAGGTTTCCTAAGCTCCTTCGTAGCCCGTCTAATGTAGTCTCAGTCTTCCGGTGCCAACCCGCGACGAGATCCTCAACTCGCCTGTGACAGATCAAGCCCCCTCCAATGGTGCCACGTCGCACTACACCGGCGGAAAGAGCGAGGCGCGGCCGGGAAGTCCGATTCTCGATGACCCAAGCGCGGAACTGGAGCGTGAATTGGCCAGCACACACATACGCAGATGAACCCCAGCTGCATATTGCATACGACTACGGCAAGGTCCGGTAGAACGATCCACGTCGGCGGGTAAGCGGTTGAGTCTGAGGTTGTAAGATTCGGTTCCTGGACGTATAGGATATGTCGATCCTCGCTTGGTTTCGAGCTGTTGTATCTGGATATGTAGACGTATACCTTGCACTTGACCAGTAATTCATTAGTGCGCGACTGAATAACACGAGCAGAGACGCTGGGGATTTGACAAAATTGGGAGTCGACCTACATTAGAACGTATCAGCCTCCGCCACGAACCATGCATGTGCATGAACGTTCAAACGTTCATAGTGCACCTGAGTCGCAAGGCTGGATTTGCGGTGGGCTACGGAGAGGGAGCGCCGTGAAGCGCCAAGGCTACGAAATGCCCCACTTCGGTTCTGAACTTGGTGGTAATTACACCGTGCTAAAACGTTCTATTGACAACCAGACCTACGCATGTATACCTGGCCTCACGCCGACTCGGAATCTATTTCTGCTTCTCTGAGCAAGCTACAATCCCTAAGCCCACAACTCGACGCTTTGGCTGACTCGGAACCTATCTCTGCATCTTTGAGCAAGCTACAATCCTTAGGCCCACAACTCGACGCCTTAGCCGAAGTAACTCGTTTGCTTGACCAAAATGTCTCGTACACGGCGCGCACCGCTCAAGACGTTGGAGGACGGGTCAAGTCTCTAGATGAGGAGATGAAGAGGGTACGCGAAGCCTCGGAGCGAGTCAGCCAAATCATTGAGCTCAAGGTACGTGACACCAACTTTGGTTCCATGCTCGCAGGCTCAGAATCCATCGCAATGCACAGTCCTCTCTTGCCGCGTTGCAGAGCTCCATCGAGCAACATGATTGGGAGTCTGCAACCCGACATTGTGCAAGAGCCATGTCCCTACCTGCTGATGTGATCTCTGGGCCGTTTGCTGGTACTGCTGTCGTACGTTCTCCATTCGTCTCCGCCCAGTTGATGCCGACCGCCTGACTATCGTTAGCCTACAGCAGAAAATCCTCTTCCTCCGGCACAGACGTTGCAAGCTGCCCGCGAGCAACTTCTTGCAGTCTTCCAACGCGAGTTCGAGAGGGCATCGACAGCTCGCGATGCGACAACGACCAGTCGCTTCTTCAGATTGTTCCCAGCCATTGGTTGGGAGGCTGAGGGCCTCCAAGCGTATGCCTCCTTTGTAGTCGACCTCGTCAAGGTGCGCGCACCCGCTTCTGCAAAGAGTATGTTTCCATTCCACGCCCAATTTCTCTCTTTTGCTCACGTCCATAGCGTCATCTCCTCTGTACTATATCACCGCCCTAACGGCCTTGTTCGAGAGCATCGCGCTCATTGTGGATCAACACCAGCCTGTTGTTGAGAAATACTACGGTCCGGGCAAGATGGGCCTCGTTCTGGATCGCTTGCTGCAGGAAGCGGACCGCGTAGCGAAGGACCTACTCGAAGGATGGGAGGAAGAAAGGTCAATGAAACGCAAGGTCCGCCCCTCTACAACTTTGCAGACTTATCGACTATTCTTACGGCAAGTCTAGCTATCCGAGCTTGCAGCTTCTCCAATATCTGCCACTGTTCAGAAGCATTCAACCTCCCCTAACGCCGATGAGGAGTCGCTGGACCCCCGCGAGGTTGACAAAGTACTGACAGAGGCAGCTAGCATGAGTGGCCGATGGGGCCTGTTCCGTAAGTTCCTGCACGATCGACTCCAGGTTACTAGTCCTTTTCCGATATCCTACCAAGTCCGTTGTTAACCTGTGCGCTCCAGGAAGAGTCAGATACCGAAGCGGGCAGCGAGGCAGACCCCGCTGGATCTAGACAGCCTCAGCCGCGAGACGGCAGCGTGGAAGATCAACACCCAGAAGCTCTCAATGGCGTACAGGTCCTGGAGAAGTCGCTTGCAAATCGATTGTTTGAAGATATGTTAGCAACGTACTACACCCCTATGGAGGTCTGGTACGCCAGGTCCGTCATAGACAAGGTGGGACTCCCGCGCATCACACGACCTAGAGCAGGAATTTGATCGCGCTCGCTTTGGTCAGGCTCACAGGCTATCGACACACGATCCTTCGCAACAGCCCATGTCGACCACGACGCCTGACGACGCATTCTATATCTTGAAGTCGGTCGTGTTGAGAATGCTCTCCACTGCATCTGTGACAACGGTTGTGCGAACGTCTGATCTCCTTCGTGATGTTATGGACAAGGACTATGCCCGCGTGATTAAGCTCAAACTCGACAACGTCTACAAAGGCGGAGCAGCTGGACCTGGCGCGCGTGGCGACAAGGTGGAACGGGAGAATCGACAGGCTTTCATTGTATGTGCCCTTTCCATCCCTTGTCCATCTTCCTCATAATATGACAGATCTTGTTGAACGACTTGGAAATATCAGCTTCACATATGGAACGCCTTGTGAAAGACGTATCTCAATCTGTCTCAATATCGCAACATTTCTTAGAGAGTGAGGTGGAGACCGTTAAAGGCAGTCTCTCTTCTTTCATGAGCCTTGTACCCAAGTACCGTTCAACACTGCGGGTGAGTTAGGGTTAGCGTGCGTCCTCCTGCACTGCTGATCGTTTCGCCAGGCTGGGGTCGAGCAGTTGTTCAATCAACTTCTCCGTCCTAAGCTACGCACGTTCACAGTCGATATATACAGAGATGTTACGTATGTCCTAGACGAAGACGCCTATGCTGCAGCGGAACTACAAGACACTGTTCGAAAACGATTTGTCAAAGCCTGGGAGGCTTTGATCGAAGGCTACAAGGTACATGATGTGGTCCTGTTCATTCCCACAGAAGCTGGTTAACAGTACGATCTGCAGGACACTTTCACCGAGAGCAACTTCAGGTTGTTCTTTGGCCTCGCTCTGGACGTGCTTGTACGCCCATGGGAAAAGTTTGTTACCAGCTTGAGGTACAGCGAGGTGAGGGAAGTGCAGTAGCTGCACATTTCACTTCTGACCTTCTATGTCTAGCTCGGTGCGATCCGCTTCGACCACGACTTGCGCGCAGTCATGGCGTACCTCTCATCTCAAACCGTCTTCGGCGATATCAGAGAGAAGTTTGTGCGATTGCAGCAAATCGCCATTCTGCTCAATTTGGACTCTGTATGTGCAAAGACTTCCGCTTTTACACCACGCTAACTCTGCTACAGGAAGAGGATGTTGACGAGTTCTACAACGGATCTGGAATCTCATGGCAGCTCAGTCAACAGGAAGCTCGCTCAGTAGCTAGTCTCAGGGTATAGCTGAAGATGTGACATGTACAACGATCGATCCGCTACTCTACATACCGTCATTGGAATTGATACCTGCATCTCCCAAAACTAAGTAACGTCCATGACTGCGTAACCCATCATCCTCTTCGCAAAGCGTCCAGCCTAGCTTGTAGAGCATCTTCATCGGACATGTCGTCGGCCCCGCTGTCCTTGCTACCGCTGCCACTAGGCGGTGCTCCTCCAGATGGCCCACCAAGCGCAACTGCTTGTCGTGGCTCCGTGAGCGATGAAGAGATCGCAAGTCCGCTTGGTGCGTCGGCAAGCTATTGGGTACAGTCAGACTTTGTGACCATGCCTGATGAACAGGATGATATATACCTGCTGAGATATGTCGACGCCAATCTCGTCTAGGACCTGTTTCAATATCTTGTCCCCCTCCTCTTCCTCATCCTCAAGGTCGTCGTCCATGACATCATCGACGGCGTCCGACATCATCTCCTCCTTCATGTCCATAGTAGCACTCTCACGCTCGAACTCCATCATGATACGCTGGATTTGTGGGAGGTTCAGGCCTCGATTCATGGCTCCCATGGCCTAGAGAAGAGACTCAGAGGGGTCTGTCATGTCTGGCACGGTGAAGACGACATACGCGAGTTGCGCCACGCATCGCTTCGGCCATCTGTTGGTTGCTCCGGAGGGTTTGTATCCTCAAGCCGACGGCCTGGAGCTGGGTCCTCATCTGATAGAACTTCTGGACATATCGACGCGTGCGGACAAGGTCTTTCGCCATCACTTTGCAAGCATTCTGTCCGAGGAGTTCAGCTTCACACGGGATTGTGAGAGGTCGAGCTTCACACCATCTGACCGGCCTTTGCACTTTTCTTTATGTCCATGATGAGCTTCTTTTCCTGTTGCTCGAGTTTGGTTCGTTCCCGATCCAACTCGCGCTGGGCCTTAGCGAGGGCGCGTTGGTGCTGGCGCAGCCGTTCAGCGGGCGTAACGGTACGACCAAAGAGGGTCTCCTGCGGGGGTTGTCGGGTGAGCGCATGTGCGGGCAGAGCATGGAATGCGACAGACTATGATATTCATGCTGGAAGAGTGAGGGTCGGTGGAGGAGTGAGAGAAGTGAGATGGGGATGGTCGGGTGGCGAGTCGAGCGAGACGCGGGGGACGGTGCGACAGCCCGCGCTGGTCGACTCGCATCTGATGCCCTTTGGTCTCCTCCTACCATGTCCTCGCACGACGCTCTCCCACAGATCGGTGCCCATTGCTCCCTTCCTTCATGCAGCTTGAACGACTTTCTCCCCATACGCTGCACATGCCAGCAATTGTTTTGCAAAGACCACATCTCTCCAGACGTCCATCACTGTCCATCTCTCCAAGCCGCACCCAGTACAATCGGCTCCGCTCTCAAGTTACAGCGCTGCGCTGCGCAGTCATGCAACAAGCCAAGTCTTGAGTCTTTTGTTGCAGACCCGTCAGATACCACCAATCGTTCTCCTGCACTATGCTCGGGCTGCAAGCAGGCATTCTGCGCCGAGTACGTTCTCTCCTACTAGCACACCATCTCGCATACGCTCAGACCCTCCCTCTTCATAGGCACAGGGATCCTAGCTCGCATTCCTGTGCTCCCTCCCATGATGTTGACTCAGGACATGTACCAGAGAAGAACGCTGCGGCGAAGGCTCTGTTGGCCAAGCACTTTGGGACGGATGCTGCCAATGCTACTGCACATGCCGGGTCCTCGGCACCCAAGCCCAGCTCTCGCAAAGAGGCTCAGCAGCGCCAGCTAGCGGTGATTAAGATGCGTGTCAAGGCCCAACCTGGAAATCTCAAGGATACCTCGGCTTCAGTGTCAATGGATCAACGACTGCATGTCAGGGTCAGTCCAGCCGGAGTGCCCTCCTCCGAGCGCATATTTTGGTTCCCAAAGGTGTCGTCCCCTTCAGTATCTAGTACCTCTGCTCCGCTAGACTCTGCATGAGCAGACGATAGGGACAGGCAAAGCCCTTGATCTGCTTGCCGCGCAATTCAAGCTGACCATCAGCGACTCACAAGTACGTTGGCTGACAGACGAGAGGTCACAGTAGCTGATGTCGTGTAGCCTCTGAAACTTCTACTGAGGCAATCCGATGATGAAGTGAACACTTTGCGTACAGATCAACTACTGGCAGACCAGGTTCCAGATGGTGCATGCCTGCATCTTACCAGATGAACAGGTAGCGGCATGCATAGCGGCGGGTTGACGGCTGGCAATGGAATGGATGATTGAAAAAACATGTATAATACCATTACATTGGATCCCATAGCACAAAAAAGACATGCAAATATGACAAGTGTATGAACATGACAGCGAGACGAACTCGTTAGGCTACCAGAGCCGCGAGTCTCCGGAGATGAGGGACATTGAGGTATGCGGGGACGTAAGTCTCCAGTCCAGAAACCTCTCTAGGGAGGGGAAGCTCGTAAGGGCCAACCTCTTCGGTTTCGGGTGCAAGGAGTAGGTGGTCGTTGCGATCATTGGGTGATACTCGTGAGGCAACAACGCGAAGAATTTCCGGCGAGATGGGAGTCTGTTGCTTGTAAGTCAGTTGAAGATGCCAGACTAATGACGATGAAAGGACAGACCTCATAGTCGGCGACGTAGTAGTTCGTGCACATGCGTTGGATTTGCGTAGGCGTCAGCATCCAGCAGACATCGTAGATGATGTCCAGATCCGCAGGTGTGGACTAGTGCCATAGTCAATGCGTGCTTCACAATCCAGTAACTCGATGGAGAACATACCTTCTTGAGCTGGAGCAGTTTCGTGGCCTGCATTAAGTGCTCGAGCTGTAGAGTGCCCTCCGGCATGTCGTGCGATTTACACCATTCCTCGATTCGAGTAATGTTGTACTGAATTTGCATCGCTTTGAGGGAGTCAGCTAGACGTTGGACGACTCAGGGTCAAGCACACTCACCTCGCTTCCAGGACGAGAAGTTACGCCTCATGAGAAGGTCGTTGAAGCTCGTCACACCAATGAGCTTGAGGAGCTCGGTGATGACTTGCTGTACTACGGACTCTTCCATATAGTAGCTCTTCAAGCTCCTCCAGACCTTGTTCAGCAAGTTCAAGATATCGTCCATGCTGTACGCAGGTTGGGTGTTCGAGCTCAACAGGCGGTTGAATAACCTTCCTCCGCCATCAGTCGTGGTAAAGCCGGGCAAGGACTGGCTTTCAATGAGCGCAGGAATGACCATCTTCGACAAACGCTTCTTAGTCTCGAGCATCCACGTGTGATAGATGTTGTACTCGAGGCTGTCTAAGTCGTGCTTGACCACCGAGACAAGTCGTTCGTAGTCCGCCCACTCAAACGGCCGGACAGCGTTCTCCTCGCCAGGACCAATCCCCTGGAGCATGTCGCTCTCGGCCACGCAGATGAACGAGAGCATCTCGTGTACGTTGGAGAGCCAGAAAATGCCAGGGATTATCGCGTCCTCACCGGTGAACGACTACAGCAATATCAGAATGCGCTTCAGGGCTAGTTAGGGACGCGGCTTACCATGACATGCGACTGAATAGTCTGCATGACGTTCGCAAGGAACCGTTCGCTCTCCGGAATGAGGCCGTATTTCCACATCTCGTTGGTGATCAGGCTGATCAAGTTTGCGGGGAACAAGATCTCCTTCACAGCAGCGGGGCTGGTCAAGCTCGGTGCAGGTATCTTCAACCCACGGATCAGGCCGTCCAAAACATCCTCGTCCAGACGCTTGATGTCCTGCATTAACCTGATCTTTTCTTCGGCGGGGTCATCGTACAGGCTGGACCGGTCGAGCACGCGGAACTGCGGTAAGCCATCCTCGCCGTTGTACGCGACCGACACTGCACGAGGATTGGACGCTTGGCTCCTCTTGGCGTTGAACATGAGCTCGTCCTGGGAGGTACGGTGATCGGAAGGCTGAATAGCATAAACGCCAGCCGAGCTGTGTCGCCGTTGGTGACGGGGAACAGAAGCAAGACTGGAGCCATTAGCATTGCCGGAGCCAGGTTCGGCGAGACGAAGAACAGGGGCGAAGGTAGGAGAAGTCGGCTCTGCTCGCACTCCCCGAGTGAGCGCGTTGAGAGCAGTAGCCCTGTTGAGCTGTTCCCGGAGGCTACTGACCTCGGTCTTGAGCGTCTGGATGACGGAGCTGTCGTCCGCATTCCGAACAGGCTGACTGTCGATGAGCTTCTGCTGAGACTCGAGTTGTGAGGCCTGCTGGGCAAGCTCCTCCGTCAACTTTTGGATGGCAGCCTCTTTCTCTGCGGCCTTGACGATCGCATCTTCGAGCTTCCGCTCCACGTCCTCCTTTGCCCGCAGGAGTTGTTGGCTACGAGACAACTCCGATTGGGCGTTCGTGAGGTCAGTCTGGATCTGCCTAGCGCGAGCGTCCGACTCTTCGTGACGAGCAACCGCCTGTGATAGCTGTGCCTCGAGAGCAGTGACTTTGTTCTGCAGCTCCTTCTTCTCTTCGGTGCGCTTCTGGAGTGTTTGAGTGAGCTCGACGACCTTGTTCTCCAGCCTGTAAGAGATCTCCTTGAACTTGGAGACAGAACGGGCCTCGGCCTTGAGGGCCTTGAGCTCCTTGCGAGCGAGCCGCCGCCGCATACAGGACTGGATAAGAATGACGCTGCGAACGTCCTTCTTGTATGCTCTGCGGCAAAGACTGTAGACAGGAGGAGACAGTCAGCGAAAGCCATCATGAACTTGTCAGTCTACTCACAGCCCCCGGAACAGGCTTTGGAGAGTGACCACGGCAAACGTCCGCTTTGAGTCCTTGAAATTGCGGCGAGCCAGAAGGCCACGGGCACCTGGAGCAAAGCATCAGTACCAACGATGATTGCACTCATCAGGCTACTCACGGCTCTGAAAGGCGACAACTGAAGTACGAATAGTGAGGAAGCGTTTTCGCTGCAGGTATCTCCGGATGCCTCGCTGGAGGCGGGTCGCGGCAGCATCCTTGCGGACCTTCTCCACAAGTTGCCTTGCCATGAGACCGCGCCACCAGGTCTGAATCTTGATCGTCGCTTCGCGAAGAGCCCTATAATGTTTCACCGCCATCTTACGCCGCATGTTCTTCTGAACGATGGTGACGAGCGCGTTCAGGCGGTTGGAGCGCAACGACTCGAGTGCTGCAAGCATACCAGCACGGAAGAAGATCTTGGTAAGGCCTGGCTGATACTTGTCAGGGTCGTTGATGGTCTTCTCAAGAATCCGGGCGCAGAGAGGCTTGAGCTCGAGATTCTTGATCATGGGTTCCCATTCAGAAGAATGGACGAGCATGTAGTACCTATCAGACGTCATTGAGACAAACTTGTCCACTCGTGTCCTCCTGGTGCTTACCGCTCGGCAAATTCTTCATACGTCCATCGTGAAGGATAACCAGCGCAACTGATCCGGATAGTCTCCAAGACACCACAAGCACGAAGTTGACCCAGTACCTGCTGAGGAGTGAACTCCCAAGCGCGCTTCTGTTCGTTAGGCTTGATGCACCTGATGTAGTGGACATTTGTGACGTTCAAAGTGTCCATCAGGTTGACCAATGATGCCTTGAAGATCGAGGCCTGGGTAGGCTTCTTCACCATACCACCGGGACGCTTTGGACCAGAACCCGCCGTAGCAGAGGACATGAGCGACGTCCTGCCAGGATCGGGAATGAGGGACGCGCGCTTATTGGTGGTGTTGGCGGAATCTGAAACGGTGGGAGAAGGAGGCGTGGCGTCGGCGGGTTTGGTCGCGGCAAACGCAGCGTCGAGTACCTCCTTCAAGAATGCGTTCTTGGTTGCCTGGAGAAGGGCCATGTGCTCGTCGGGTACAGTATCCCGATTCTTCTCTAGGAAACCCTCCACTTCGTATGTGACATCCAGGGCATAGTGAGCAATCGTGAAGGCAGAGTTGCCAAAGCGGGGTTTCTTGAAGACCTTGGCATTCTCCGGCTTGACCAACTGGTTGTTGAGCTTCTGCAGGAAGGATTGATCTGTGCCGGAGGGAAGACGGGACTCTTCGTCAAGAAGGGCCATAACACCAAGTTTGCCTTCGATGACGTCGATGCAAGGCTGGTTGTCGGAGAAATCGATGAATGTCCAATTGATCTTCTCACGGATGTACTCCTCTTGCTCGAGCTTGAAGACGTGCTGGTTGAACTGAGCGGACAGAATGTTAATACGGCGTGCGCGTCGGTATGGTTAGTGCCTACCTCTTGCTGCAGCTTCTCGTTCGCGTAATTGATACTAAATTGCTCGAAGGAGTTCTACGTATATCGGTTCAGTCAGACAAACAACAGACCCGACGCGCTCACTGACCTTCTTAAAATGCTCAAACCCGTAGATATCCAACACACCGATGAACATCTCCGCTCGATTCGCAGCCTCGCCGTTCTCCCCAGCCAAACTCTCGTTAAGGATTGCGACGACCCATTCGAAGAGGCAAGCATAGACGAACTTCGCGACAGAGTCGCGAACGACTGTCGCCTGTGCGCCATTCAGCGAGGTGACAATCTTTTCGTTACGAGTGGTGATCTGCTTCTTGACCGTCCACTTCTTGAATTCGGCGAGAGGTATGCCCAGAAAACGCGTCGACAGTTGAAGCGCAGGATCCGTGTCGTCAATTGCCGCGTCTGTCCGTGATTGAGTGATCTTGATGTTGCCGAGGTGGAGAAGAGCAGCAAGGAGCTTGAAGACGGCCCACTGCTTCTCGATGCCGATGCCAATTGTTGACAGAGCTTTCTGCGTTTCCTGGAACTCGTGTTCATCGTCCACCCCGGGAATGGGCGTAGAGGTGGGACCGCCCTGGCTGAGGTATTGGAACTTAGTGACATCCGTATCGAGACCCAAATCCTTCCGCTCTTTCAGAGGAGCTCCGGCACAGAGTTGGTAGAAGATATGGTAGTTCCGCTCCGTCAAAGGCTGGAAAACGACACGAGAGCGCTCAAGGAGGTACGTCCGTATGCGTGCCCCGACGATTTCTTGCTCGCCGTCGAACAGGATCTGCGCACATGCTCAGCATGCTTGTAGCAAGTATGAATAGTTGTAATGACTGACCTGGATGTACTTCCCAAAACGTGACGAGTTGTCGTTACGCGTAGTCTTCGCATTACCGAACGCTTCGAGTACCGGATTGGTGGCGAGAATCTGACGCTCCACCTCGCTCGACTCGTCAAGCGAAGCTTTGGTCCTAGCCTTGTTCTTCTTTTCGGGAGGATCCACGGACGCGAGGTAACGCATGATGTACTTCGCCTGGAAGGAATGAGTCCCCCGCATTGCAGCAGAGTACGTCTACTCACCGATTCCGTCTTGCCGGCACCACTGTTGCGGCGTGAGCAGGTGCAACGTAACTTACGACAGGGACTGTGCGTACCTCTCCCCGGAGACGATGATGGTCTGGCCCGTGCCATCTCTGCTCATAGCAGTGTAGGCGTCCTCCGCTATAGCGAACAAATGCGGCTCGAGTTCGCCTCTCCGACGGCCATTATATGCTTGAATGACTTCCGGGCCATAAAGGGCGACGCGTTGGAAGGGGTTGACGGCGATGAGGACAATTCCGGAGTATGTATAGATGCTGTGTTGGGCGTAACGATTGCGGATTGTGTGAAGGACTGCAGGACAGGACACGAACAGAGTCGGCGATGAGACAAACGTATGTAGCCAGGAGAGCGGTTCCTAGAGAGGTGGACACTAACCTGAAGGTTCGTTCAAATGAGAGAGGGTCGCGAGGTCGTCAGCGGTTTCCAGCAGCGGTGGGTTTCGTAGCGGTGGCAGGTCCTCCTTGCCATCCTTGATCGCCTTGACGGTGGTGTCTACCTTAATCTCCTGTATACAAAGAGCACCATCAGTATATGAGCATTCAGAAAGGAGCAAGTGAGGGTGCACGGAAGAAGCACCGACCTTTCCGCGTTCATCTACAAAGACCAGCTTGACAGTATCATCGGTCCTGGTGACCGTGGTGACCTCGGCGGATATCCAACCTAGCTCCTTGTCAGGGAACCATACCCTGGTGCCTTTGCTGTATATATTTTCGGCCATGGAGTGAGGGGGGCCGGGGAGGAATGGGTCGTAACAAGTCGTCAGCTGAGTAGGGAACGTTGCCCCGAAATCACCTCCGTTAAGCCCGTCACAACTCTGATCGAGCGTGACGGTAACCAGTCACGCATTCTCAATTCCCCTCCCGGCAGCCTTTCATCTGCGCTCTCGAGCGTGCAGACTGTCATGGAGCACACTGGCTACTGAAATGCACTATATATTACTACTAGACTCCAGACTAACAAGGGGATGAATGGCAGCATGACGGCGATGTGGCAGAGAGAACGACGGGCGCCATGCGTAACGGATTAGCAGCCACTATGGGCGCTCTCTCAGAGCCGGCAGTACTGGCCGCCATAGCGGCCTCTCCACAGTGCCTCCACTCCTCACCTCGCCTCAGCACTCTTCCGTTAGGCGGTGGTCTCGCTTGGTGTCCCTTTCCTTCAGTCCTTTGTGCTCCTCCGCGTCCCAGCATATCGCAAACGCCACTTGAGCTTGGACCTTGCACCGGACCGGGACTGCACGACTGCTCGGCGGGATGGCTTCAATCTCTGTCCTCAAGAGTTCGACTGTGACCGTCAAAGGTCCCAAGGTACGCCTACCACCGATCTACGTCGGTCGCGACCGTCGTTCATTTGGCCTCTGTGGGTAGGGTACGAAGATCATAACGCGCCAGAAATTGCGCAAGGTGCGTCCATCCCAGCCACTATCTCGCAGCTGCCGAAGCCACCGTGCTAACCCCGCCGTACAGTACTCTTGGTTACCAGATGTGCTCCGCCTCAAAGGAAGCGTGCGTATTCTCTCCGTATGCCATGTCTTCTACATCCTGACCTCCTACAACAGGTCGTGCCCCGCATCGTCGGTCCAGTCCTGACCGTCACCATCTTTGCCACGGCCGCGGCCTACTTGTGGGCGCACGGCACGGACATATCTTTGACGAACTCTGTTGTACCGCTTCTGTCTGTGGTTGTGAGTGTCTCGATATGCTGTAGGCCCGAAGCGTTTGTTCACCCCAAGCGCCGTAGGTGGGCCTGATTCTTGTCTTCAGGTCAGTCGTGTGACCCTCATGATGTTCAAGCGATCTCCAACATGTCTGACGCGACCATCACATCTACAGAAATGGGTGAGTAGCACTGTACTCCGTTGACAGAGCTCAATGTCTAATTCCATTCTTAGCACTTCCTATGATCGGTACTGGGAAGGACGCAAAGATTTCGGGACCATGGTTTCTCATGTACGTTACCGCACTTGCCCCTCCTTATGGCATCCATCGCCCTTCTCTGCTTCCAGCTGACGTCCACGCTCCCACCCACAGGTCCGCAACCTCTCTCGCCTCATCTGGATCAATGTCTCCCTGCCCCCGGCAGACGACGCCTCGCGCGGCAAGGCCGCTTCCGCCAATCTCACCCCCGCCCAGCTCCGACGCAGGAAGGTGGACGCGATCAAACTCTCCCTCTCCTTCGCCTATGCCGTAAAGCACTACCTCCGCGGCGAGGACGGCCTCGACTGGGACGACTACGCCGGGATCCTCCCCGCCCGCACCGCTCGTCTCTACAACGGGCTCTACCAGCCCCCAAACAAGGACTACAAGTATTCTACCGTTGGCACGAGCGGCAAGTCCACCGGGTACGCCAGCTACGCCGCAACGGAGTACAGCGTCCGCCGCGACTCGCCGGAGGGCTTCGACACGGGTTCGAGCACGCCTGGGGCGGACACGCTCCTCGACGTCGAGAGGGGCCGGCAGAGCACTGCCGACGCGACGAAACGCGTCAGAGTCAAGCGGAGCAAGGATCGCCTGAAGGCCCCTGGGCAGAAGTCGACCACGCCCCTGATGAGTTCCTTACAACACACGATCGACTTCTCGCCCGACCCAGACAGCCTGAGCACCCCGCTGCCCATGGTCATCGCGCACGAGCTCTCGCATGCACTGTTCAAGTTCCGCAGGGACGGGTACCTCGAGACCGTCGGTCCCGCTGGCATGAATGCCATGAATACCCTGTATGCGATTTCCTTTCCTTCTTGCTCGACTTTTGCTCAGACTGGTTGCGTAGCATCCAAGGCATGATTGATATGATGACCTGTATGGAACGGGTCGCCAACACGCCGATCCCGCGCTCATACAGCATCCATCTGAAGCAATGCGTGACCCTATACTTGTTTTCTCTCCCCTTCACTCTTGTCAGGGAGCTTGGCTGGGGCATGATTCCCATCGTCACTGTGGTGGCGTTCACTCTGATGGGCATTGAGGGTATCGCGGAGGAGATTGAGATGCCTTTTGGACTCGATTCGGCAGACCTTCCCTTGGGTAGGTGCTTGTGATTTGAGACAGAAAGCCCCTGCTCAAGTTTGCATTACAGAACGTTACTGTGAGGACCTCAAGGAGGAGATCGAGTTCATGGTGGAGAAGTTGCCCGAAGGAGGGCAGGGCATGGGTGGTTACGACGATGGCGAAGGCGACGACTAACGAAGACGAGACACGCATAGTATACGCCCTGCAACCGCATTCCCATCCGCATCGCACATCTGCATACCATATTGAGATTCTCGCACATACGTCCAGACAATGTTTCAATGTGTCTTCTTCCTCAGCCATCCCCTCGACGGCTGTCTCGATCAGACGTCCGACAATGCTCTAATTTGAAGACCGCTGGCAGAAGGCAGGAATATATGTACTCTAAGCGAACTCGGGCTGGCAGTGTTCTCCAGGACCGTAAGGCTAGAAACAAGGTATGTAAGTCCCTCTAGGGATGAGAGTAAGGAAAGTGACACGCACCTTCTCCGTGAGCGCGGTGAGGCCGGCAGAATTCTCAGAAGTATGACGGCCGCTCTGGGGTCCCGGCTTGGGCTTCTCGCCTTTCTTGAACGCAGCTAGCACCTTGCGAGTCGTCTCTGACGTGAGGTCCTCCTGTATTCCGAGAAGAATTTGTCAAAGCTTGGGTTTCTACACAAGGGTGCGCGGCAACGTACGTAGAAGTCGTCGCCAACAACCATCATTGGCGCGTTACTGCACGCGCCCTGACACTCAACCTCGATGACAGTGAACTTGCCGTCTTTGGTGGTCTCCCCAGGCTTGATGCCACCCAGCTCGGAGCAGACGGTTTCGAGGATCTCGTATGCACCGTTGAGCATGCAAGGGGTTGTAGTGCAGACCTGAACGAAATGTTCGCCAATGGGTTCCCTACATTGGACGTCATTCGTACATGTTGTGTAGAGAGACATTGAGCAACAAAGGAGGGAGCTGACCGGTTGAACATGGTGTAAAAGGTGGCAACCTCGTAGACGCGCATTGGGGGCATCTCGAGGAGGTTGGCGACATAGTTCATGACGGAGATGGAAGTCCAGCCCTTGTTCTGGCGCTGGCCAAGGTCGAGGAGGGGGATGACGGCGGCCTTCTTGTACTGGGGAGGGTAATGGGAGATGATTTCCTGAGCACGCTTGAGGTTCTCGGGGGAGAACTCGAACGGAATCTGCATGGGGTTCAGCGATAGAAGAGGAGAGGTGCGATACAGAGCGCACCTTGGGGTTGTTGTAGGGAGTGTCACGGTGCTATGATGGGGGTAAGACATGAGCGTGCACGTTCAGGGCTGGCAATCAAGACAAGGATACAGACGACGAAGAGAGCGTCGGAACGCCTGGGGGCAGAGGAGCAGATGGCCCGCGCAGGGGTAGATGGGCGAGGAGGCCGGACATGCCTCGAGAGAGCGCGAAGAGCAAACATCGCGGCGGAGAGGGAGACGAGGGCAGCTGGAGAGACTCAAGACTCGAGACTGAGCACAGCGCGAGCGATGACCGACACACAGGCGCCCGCGCGAAGGGCCGCGCCGTCACTGGTTCCCGCCGGCGTCTGTCTCAACGTGTCTCTGCCCGGAATGGCAATTGGTGTGGTTGAGGCTAGTATGTAGTGCCAAAGACTAAATTGCATAGCACAAGACCCATGACAATCACCCTGCGAAGCTATCAGGCTGATGGTCAACCGCGCGGGCTTTGTGCGGGAACGGGAGCAAATGGCTCCAAGGAGACCAGAGCAAGACTGGGGCTCTGCGCCCACGCTAGAAAATTGCAGACGGCTGCTGTCAGGGCGATAGCGCGGGCGCAGTGGACGGGCGTATTGGTGCGCTCGACGAACACAAGGAGCTATGGGACGTTGTGCGGCGTGTGAGCCCGAGGATGAGGGCAATTAATGTCGGCGGTGGTAATGTCGGCGATGAGGGAGCGTCGGGCGGGGTCGCGGGTGGCGCCGAGGTCTGGTGACCGCCGGGCGCTCGGGCGCCTGTGCGGACTGGTGAGAGCGTCGACCTGGCCTCTTTCTCCCGCCCACCCCCATCCTCCCCGCCGTGTCGTCCGTCCTGCTCGCCCCTTCCCCGCCAGCCTCAGCCTTCCCTCTCGCCCTCTCTTTCTCCTAACGTTTAATCTATCTCAACTCGCATCCTCGACCCCGTTCTCGTCTCCTCCAAGAGTCGTCCCCGCTCCTTCCTTCAAGGAACTCCGATCCTCTGTATCCGTAGCATCATCCCCCTCTCCAGATGGCCACTCACGGTCCAATCAACGGCGTCAAGATCTCTCGTACGTCCCTCCTTCATTTCCACACACACCCTCTTCCATGCTTCGCTTTTCCTCCCCGTGCCCTCCCCGTCCCTTAAAACATTGCATCGCGTCCATCGCCCCTTTCCATCCTCTTCTCCTGCTCATGGATGACGCGTTGGTACTCATTCCTGTCGTTTTTCTGTCTTTGCGCATCTGCAGCCGTCGACGATCCCCGCAAGATCGTCAAGGTCGTCGCTTCCGACGGCAAGTCGGGAGAGACCCGTGATCTCATTTACACCAACTGCAAAGTCATCGGAAACGGCTCTTTCGGTATCGTCTTCCAGGCAAAGCTCCTCGAAGACTCCAACCCCGTCTGTGACATCGCCATCAAGAAGGTCTTGCAGGACAAGAGGTTCAAGGTACGTTCCCTCCTTTCCGAGCCCCCCCTCTTTGTGGTTACAGCGCGTCTAATCTGCAATCTCCGTCGCGCGCAGAACCGTGAATTGCAGATCATGAGACTCGTCTCACATCCCAACGTCGTCGACCTTAAAGCCTTTTTCTACTCTAATGGTGACAAGGTGAGCTCCACAGCGTTTCCCACACATCGCACCTTCCTTTTCCTCGTTCTCTTCGCATCCGCCATTTTCTCATCTCGTGCCCCCTCAATCGTTCCGACGACTGACATAGTCCGACCGAAAGAAAGATGAAGTGTACCTCAACCTTGTGCTCGAATATGTCCCGGAGACCGTGTACCGCGCTAGCCGGCACTACGCCAAGCTCAAGCAACCGATGCCCATGCTCCAAATCAAGCTGTATATGTATCAACTCCTCCGCTCCCTCATGTACATCCACTCCATCGGCATTTGCCACCGCGACATCAAGCCTCAGAACCTCCTTCTCAACCCTGCTACCGGCGTCCTGAAGCTCTGTGACTTTGGCTCAGCCAAGATCCTTGTCGCGGGCGAGCCCAACGTCAGCTACATCTGCTCCCGCTACTACCGTGCGCCAGAGCTCATCTTCGGCGCGACGAACTACACGACAAACATTGGTGTGGTTCACGTTGTTTCTCAGCATTTCTCGCGTGCTCATTGACATCTCTACTTCACAACTCAGACATCTGGTCAACTGGATGTGTCATGGCGGAGCTCATGCTTGGGCAGCCTCTGTTCCCCGGAGAGAGTGGAATCGACCAGCTGGTCGAGATCATCAAGGTCCTCGGCACTCCATCGCGAGAGCAGATCAAGACGATGAATCCCAACTACATGGAGCACAAGTTCCCACAGATCAAGCCTCACCCTTTCTCCAAGGTGCGTCGTCGAATACTAACACGAGCTTTCGGCTCCTATTCGCGTGGCACAGCCACTGACCATGGAGTCCCAACCAGGTCTTCCGGCCTCGCACAGCACCGGAAGCTATCGACCTCGTTGCGAAGTTGCTCGAGTACACGCCTGAGGCGCGGCTGAGCGCGGTCGAGGCGATGTGCCACCCGTTCTTCGACGAGCTGCGGCAAGAGGGTGCGAAAATGCCCAACGGGAAGGAGTTCCCGCCTCTCTTTGACTTTACTCGGGAAGGTACGTGCACAGCTTATTCAGCCCAGAGCCGCACTTGTCGAGGTTGCTGACATTTCAATGACTCAACACTCGCAGAGCTCTCAGTACGGCCGGACCTGATCCGCCAGCTTGTTCCGCCACACACCGAGGCTGAGCTCGCGTCGCGTTCGATCCACCTGGATTCGTTTGTTCCGATACCGCTGGAGCAGCTAAGAATCTCCTTGGACTAAGGAGCTGGCGAAGAGGAAGGACACGTTCCCTGTCCGCACGGGACTCGTAGTATTTTCGTATAGCGATGCAGCCCTACGCGCGCGCAAGGGTAGCCCCGTCGTTTGCCATGTCCCACGTCGTCGCGTTGCCTTTTTGCTCTATTGGTCGCAGCGTTGTGGCCGTCGTCATCGCCGTCTGTCCGTTTTGTCACGCCATGTCCGATACATCTCATGTCTCACATCATCACCACTCGTACCGTCCTGGCGTCGCGTCGTGTCCGGTTGTCTTATATATCTCTGAGTTTGTATGGCTGGGCTTGCCGCTGCGATGCACGTACATATTTGTATACACGACCCGAGAATGTCGTCACGAAGAAATAAGCATTTTGCATTGCACGATCTGGCGAGATGGATGATGATGTGCGAGGGAAACGGGAGGGGCTACTTGCGGGAATGAGAGGGCTTATGTCGCGATATACTGCACGAGGGCGGGGGGGGGGGGGGCAAAGATACAGCGCAGCGTAGGGATGAGCGCGAAAAGTTGCGCGATGTCGCGAGCGATTCACGCGACCGCACACATCCGGCGTCTATTTCATGCTCGCTCGCCTCCCGCGCCTCTTCCTCTCCGAGCCCTTCTTCATCTCCTCCGCCGTCCTCCTCCCCCCCTTCCTCCCCAACCATGTCCGCACCCTCTCTCGCGGGCAACAGCTCCGCCTACGTCTGCGATACTCTTCCGCCTCCCCGTCTCGCCGGCGACAAGTCTTGCTCTCGCTCTCCCAGTCCCTCTCCTGTGTCCCCGTCCGCCATTACCACCTTCGACCCACCAATCATCGCGTCGTCACAGGAGCCACCGGCACTGTCACCTATGGAGTCTTCGACCGTGAAGGACGAGGACGCGAAGCAGGCCGATAGTGGTGCGGCCCCTACTCAGCCTCCCGCGCGCAAGCTATGCGTTCGCCATCAGCGGATGGCGGACGAGGGCACCAACTTGAAACTCCAGCAGGTGATTCCTCTTCCTCCTTCAACACCTCGCACGTCGCCCCCCTTTCACTATCTCGTCCAATCCATCATGTCCGGTGTCCGTCGATGCAGCGATAGAAGGGCTCTCTCTCTCTCGTTCCTCAGTATATCTAAGCGGCGCTCCGACATCTCACTTATCCTGCCCCGCTCTCCCTTCCCATCTTTTCCCCCGCCCAATTGCATTCTTCTCTTCACTCTCGCATTACACGGTTACTGACCTCCATCTCTTTCTCTTGCGCACCTCGTGATTTCAAACAGGCACTTGATGCACTCCCCGTCGCAGAGCGCGAGGCCGTCTCCGTCATCTGGTCCAACTTCTCATCATCCCCACATCCCCGCCGCGCCCTTATCCTCCATGGTCTCCTCACCATGTGCTGTTTCTCCCAGCTGTCCCTTCTCACCGAGCAGCTCGCCCACCTGATCCGCATCGACCCGTTCGCCATCCTCCCGCGCGAAGTCTCGCTCAAGATCCTCGGCTATCTTGATGCTACCTCGCTCTGCCGGGCCGCTCAGGTGAGCCGCCAGTGGAGGGGTCTGGCCGACGACGATATCCTTTGGAGGGGGATCTGCGAGCAGCATATTGGACAGAAGTGCTTGAAGTGCGGATGGGGGCTCCCTATCTTGGAGAAGCGAAGGGCGGTACGACTCCCGACGGCTTCCCCGTGTCCAGAGCCTGTTGCGGTCCCTCAGTCCTCTTCGCAGGGGCCTTCTTCGCAGGGGTCGTCTTCGCAAGCATCGTCCGCGTCCTCCCATTCCCACCTAAAGCGACGGCTCGACGCGCACGCAGCAGGGGCCTCTACTACCAAAAAGGCCAGACTGGAAACTCCTGAGCACGGCTCGCGACCCGCGACCCCCTCTTCGTCGCAGAATACGACTCTTTCTATCTCCTCCACCGAAGACCCCGTTGCTTCGGGTTCCACGAGCCCGAATCCGCTTCTCGCGCCATCCTCCAGGGCTCCGGCGGTCGACTTCCGCACCCGGCCATGGAAAGACGTCTATTGCGAACGCCTTACCATCGAGCGCAACTGGCGGCGCGGGCGTTGTACCGTGCGTACGCTCAAAGGACACACCGATGGAGTGATGTGTTTGCAGTTCAGCGAAACGCTTTCCCATCCGTCCTTCCCCATCCTCATCACCGGCTCGTACGACCGCACCGCCCGCGTCTGGAACCTGGAGACAGGCACCGAAGTGCAGTGTCTGTCAGGGCACACTCGCGCGATCCGGGCGCTGCAGTTCGACGAGGCGAAGCTGATCACTGGCAGTATGGATCATACGATGCGGGTGTGGAATTGGCGGACGGGGCAGTGTCTGAAGGTCTTGGAAGGACACACGGAAGGCGTGGTGTGTCTCCGGTACGACTCCAACGTCCTGGCGAGCGGGTCCGTCGACACTACCGTGAAGGTGTGGAACTTCCGGACGGGCGAGTGCTTCACGCTCCGTGGGCATTGCGACTGGGTCAACGCTGTCCAACTCTGGGATTCGACCGGCACCTCCTCGTCGTGCGACACTTCGTTAACTGCGTTTGAGAATACCCCCACCTCTTACGCCGGCTCGGCTCCCCACATCGACCCGGGCAAGATGCTCTTCTCGGCTTCGGACGACGGCACTATCCGCCTCTGGGACCTGTGCGCACGTGCGTGCGTGCGCCAGTTCAAGGGCCACGTCGGCCAAGTGCAGAGCCTGAAGCTTCTCATGGTCGACGAGGGCTGCGAGTCCTCGGCCGGGTCCGAAGGAAGCTCGGACCGCGAGGCGTCGGTCGAGCCCCAAGAGTCCTGTTCCTCCAGCCCCTCGGCTTCCTCGTCCCCTCTCCCCTCTTCTCCCGTTCCCACCTCCTCTTCTACTAGGCCCGTCCCCGCACTTTCCCGGCAGAACACCCGGGAGCGATCGTCGCGGCAGAAGCCCGTCCTTATCTCAGGCAGCCTCGATAATACGATAAAGATCTGGGATATTGACACCGGCAAGGTCCAGCGTACGCTCTTCGGGCACATCGAGGGCGTATGGGCTGTCGCGAGCGATAAGCTCCGGCTGGTGAGCGGCAGCCACGATCGTACGATCAAGGTAGGCCCCCTTTGCATCAGCCGTCTAACTTGCAGGGCACTCATGTTGTGCGTTCTCCTAGGTCTGGAACCGAGAAGAGGGTGCGTGCACGGCGACGCTTGTCGGTCACCGGGGCGCCGTTACGTGTCTCGCTCTCGGCGAAGATAAGATAGTCTCGGGCAGCGACGACGGCGACATACGGCTCTGGAGCTTCGGCGGGTAGAGGTCAGCATTTCGCCATGTACATTTTGCGCAGCGTATAGAGCTAGCTGCTTGAGGTCTGTACAAGTACATTATTCTTGCTATTGTATGGTATACTGTCATCACGTATTGAGGAGGTCGTCATTGGATCACGGATTCTTGCCATACATATCGGCGTCATGTGTCTGTTCACATATCATAGGTGGTCTAGTGTCAAAAATAACCTTGCAACGCCACCGAAATGCCCGCTCGATCATACAGTAGTGCCTCCACCGATAATTGTCACTGCGTTGCGTGTGTTCGATCACTGCGCTGACGATTTGTCAGGCGAGGAACACTCTCCACGACTTGCAAATCGTGCTTGTGTCACTTGTCTGCAAGATGACTACGACCCGCCTTGCTGAAGCGCACGCCGGAGTCCAGACGCTGTGGCCCAAATATACTCCCCCTCGCGCAAGTTTGTGCCGTACAGGCGTAAGAGAGCACACGCTGCGACGTTCAAGCTGGTTGCTGCGTGTGCGTCATCCACTCTGAACTTCAGTCATCTGGAGCAGACCGCAGCCCGACGGGGCGTCTCAAACAGCAACCAACCAAACCACCGAACGCTCGAGAACGGATGCACCGAAAGTCACAAGCGGGATTGGGCGAGTAACCAGCATAATGGCGTGCACAATATCGCCGTCCGGACGATGGGCCGGATAACCAGCTCAAGCAGCCGCTGCTGGACTCGTGTTATGTCGCTAGCACCATTTGTCATGGAATCGCGGGAGGGGCCTGACTGTAACAGTTCTGCGGCCACTTCTACGATTTGGGAACCTCAGCTGACTATCTGTGCTCCGTGGTACATTGGAATCGAGCTACAGTACTTCACCGTCGTGAGCACGAAACGTAACACATCGACTCGAGCAGCTGCAACTTAGCTCGCCAGTTGAGTATGTACCACTCTGCTCGACACGGAGCGCCTTGAGCGCTAATGAAGGTAACCTTAGCCCCCCAAGGGACTCATGTGTAACGGAGCAAAGTTTATGAGAGGTGGCGTGGCCGAGTTGGTCTAAGGCGTCGGATTTAAGAATTTCTTGATTCCCGATGGGAGTAATCCCGCGCGAGTTCGAACCTCGCCGCCACCATTAAGTTTTCTTCCTCCGACGCCTTTCTACGCTGGTTTTTGGTACATTCCATTTCCGTGCCAACGCAGGTGCACGAGGCTCTTTACATAGCGTACATTGCGAACCAGCAAGAATTCGCGCCCCTTTGCGCGACAGCTCTTCACAACATAGACCTCCCCGTTCTCGACACATTCACATCTAGAACAGCTGCATGCAAGCGTTAGCAGCAATACGATTGATAAACGAAGCCGAAGACTAACCCCAGAGATGCTGTCTTTGCCTCCAGGCCTCTCGCGTACCCTAAGCCGAAGGCGCTCCAGTCAGTATAGTGTCAGATCACGTCGAGGAATGACCATACTTGCGAGTGGGCTTGAACGCCTGCGCGTCGTCGGGGGCATCCCAGAGGGACGCGAACGCCGAAGAGTTGTTGCTCTTTTTACTAACATTGTACCATGTGAAAACTAAGCGCGTCTCACGGGACCGTTCTGCTCACCGTTCTGGGGCCGGGGCAACTTCAGGGCTGGCGGTGCTAGCCTCCGCGGTAGCCGCGGGTGCTGCCTGAACCACACGCTCAGTCTCGAATGCTGTCGTACGGCCCACGCAGGACTCACCGCAGCGGACGACTGTGGTGGCGCGGCGGAAAGCGCGTCGTTGTCGTCGTCGTCTGCGCCGCCGAAAATGTTATGGGTCCTTCCTCCGGGCGGATCCCTTACGCGACGGGTGGGCTTAAAGTCGGTTGCTGGGGTGGATTCTGCTATAGTTCGACGAGATGATGTCAGGCTCTGACTTAGATACAGGCAAGTATGGAACGAACGTACTTGCTGCGGGTTCGGGCGCAGCAGCTGGCGGCGCTGGCGCAGACTCAGCAGGGGGGCCACTAGCAAGCTTGCCAAACTGCGCGTAGCCTACCGGTGGAGGAATGAACAAAGGTTGTGGGTGTGAAGGACAAAGAGCCTGAGGGTACATACGAGGGAGCTTCTGGATGTTGGTGAAGTTGGTGTCAACAGAGACGCCAGCATATCTAGGCAGATAAAGGTTCTTAGCGGGTGCATCTAGGCACGTTGCGGCTGGGAGTAGACGGGTCTTACTTGAGGAACTCGAGAAGGGAACGCTTGGTGAAGACTATGCTAGTACTGTCCCAGTCGAGCAAGCCTACAAGCGGGATTTTATTCAAGACGGCGCTGATAAACGGCAGGGGCAGAACAGACCGAGCTGGGCGGGCCAGTCGCGCTCCTTGGAAGGATCGACAGCAGTGGAAGGCGTGAAACTAGCGGGCGCCGAGGTCAGGGACGGGGAGTTGATATGATAGGATGATTTCTGAATGACTTACGAGGCAGGAGCACTCATGGCGCGTTCAGTTCCAAGTTGCAGTGGGGAGGGTATGTGCTACTCAGAGAAAGGCGAAGTGAACGAACCACACAAGCATTCAACGAACGCGTCTCCAAGGCCAGAGGCGCGATTACGTAAGGGCCGCAACGGCTCCGTCGGACTCGGAGGATGTACTCTTCCTACTTAGTGCTGTACTTTGTACACTCCGTACGACTTTCGCCTGCACGTACTCTACGAAGCTGCTAATTCTCATTCATGTTCTCCGCCTCTCGCCCAGCCTTCTCGCGCCCTTTGATTCCCCGCGCCCTCTCCAGTCGCCTCCGTCGATCATACGCCTCCTCTTCTGCCTACCTCGACCCTGCCCTTGCACGCCATCCCTCCGTCACGACAACCCCAGAAGACATTTCCCCCAAACTCCGCCACGAGCTCGAGAGTGCGTTGAGAGTGGACCAGGCCGGTGAACTTGCTGCCAATTACATCTACAAGGGCCAGCACGACGTCCTTGGTCGCCAGCCACTCACCGGGCCCCTCATCCAAGTACGTGCAGCCCCCCGCCTTCCTCATCCTCCTTGACCTCGCACTCACGCCTATCAGGAAATGTGGGACCAAGAGAAAAAGCACCTCGCCGTCATGAACAAGCTTCAGACACAGCACCGTGTTCGCCCAACCCTTTTTTGGGAGCTCGCCCGTGTCGGCGGCTACGGTCTCGGCGCCGTCACGGCTCTCATGGGCAAGGAGGCTGCAATGGCATGCACCGAAGCCGTCGAGACCGTCATCGGCGAGCATTACGACGAGTGCGTACCGTCCTCTGTTCACCTGATCAACCTCGCTGACATTCCATTCAGCCAACTCAAGGCTCTTGAAGAACTCCCCCCAGATCACCCTAGCGTACCCCTTCTGAAGGACGTCATCCGCGAATTCAGAGACGACGAGCTTGAGCACTTGGATATCGCGGTAGAGAACGACTCCCAGAAAGCTCCTGCACATGCACTTCTAAGCACCGTCGTTGGCACAGGATGCAAGGTGGCTATCGAGTTATGCAAGAGATTCTAGGGCGGGATGTCTCGCACAATGTAGAAGTTTGGACCGGACTGTACCATAGTAATCTTTGCGATACAACGCCATCGTACTTATCCACCTCTCAATCCGTCGTCTCAGCCTCAGGAGCAGGCGCGATGCGTGCCAGGGACTCTCCCTTGCGTTTGCCTGTCCAGTCCCACACCCCCTATAAAAGAACGCGTCAAGAAAGCGCGAAGTGAACGTTCATGGGGCTACGCACGAATTGATGATAAGAGAGGGCAAAGATGGCGGCAGGGAAGACAATCATGCCCAGGATGGACTGCCTTGCTGTCCTTGAGTTGAAGCGAAAGTGCTTGTATACATCTTCGCGCTATACATACGTGCACAAAGCAATCAGGAGACGATGACGAGAGCAGAAAACGCAGCGCACGCACCATCACATTCCACCGCTCAACGGCGGGGTCAAGCTGTGTCCAACGTCAGACGTCCGTTGTACCCTCAATTGGAGAAATACGAGCATTCACCTTTGTGTACCCTGCATGAGCAAAAAATATGAATGAGAAAGGGCGAAGGCGAGCATGGGGAGGGACGCACCGTGTCCGGCCATGGTGGATAGAGACTCAGTCGTTGCCGATCGCAGGCGCCCGGCTCTTGACCTCTAACCACCACCTTCCCGACTCTCCCACCCTTCCTCTCTCCCTCCTGCCCTTGGCATCCGTTCGATATGACTCACAACAGAGAATGGGACAAGGGAAAGCAGGCTGACTACGGCGGATGGCAGCCACCACCGCGCAGCAACGGCCACATGCGAGACGACGACTGGTATGGCGGCGACGCCGGCGGTAACTTCAAGCGCAGGAAATACAACGACGGTGTGCGTGTTTCGCTCCCACATACACTGGTCACACACTGATATCTGTCTCTGTATAGGGCTATGACCAGTCCCAAGGCTGGGACGACTCCGGCTACGACCAAGGGAGCTCCTACCAAGATGATCGCTACCACAAGGGTGGCGGGGGCATGTACAACAAGAAGCGGCTCGTCCCCAGCGAGCCCAGTCCACACGTCATCTTCCTTGGGCTTGACCCTGACTTCACCGAGTCCGACGTACGTGTCCTCTCCCTCACATACTATTCTCGTCCCGCTGCAGCGACCGCAAGAGACGCCGAGCACTAACTCCGGTCGACGTTGACAGATGCAAGCGTACCTGACGAGCAACAAGTGCAGCATCGAGTCGGTCACCATCATCCGAGACAGATCTACAGGCACTTGCCCCATCCTCCTTCATAGCGTTCCGCAGTGCATTGACGTCTTCTCTTTCCCCGCCTCGCCGCCTTGAACGCATGAACGCCTCCCGCACATCGCCCCTCCGCACGCGACCTTATAGGTGTCTCGAAGGGCTTCGGCTTCGCCCAATTCACCACGACGGAACACGCCCGCGCGTTCGTCGACCCCTTGTTTCCCTTCATACAGATCCCGCCGCCCGCCTCTCACGGCGCGACCGCGCGCGCTGCGTTCTACCGCGCCGTAGAACAGAACATACCGCAGCCCCCAGGCGGACGACGCGTCAAGATCGACTATTCACAGTCCGCTGCCCCTGGGGAGCGCCGCGGACCCAAGGGGACATTGCAGTCGAACGACGGGACGCGCGACATCGGCAACGTCCAGGCGCCTGTCCTGCTCTTCCGTGGGCTGGATCCGCTGAGCGGCCCGCAAGCCATCGCCCAAGCTATGAAGCTGAGTGCAGGCCCGGGGAAGGAGGGCGCTAAGGGCATGCGGAGGATCATCTTGATCAAGGACAAGGTCACGACGGCCAGCTGGGGATTTGCGTTCGTGGAGTTCGTCGACATCCAGGTGCGTCCGTCGTTCTCTCGTGCTAGAGTGCACAGTTGACAGCAGTCGCAGTCGGCATCTGCTGTCTTGGCTTCCACCATGTCTCCGCAGCTGCACCCGAATGGGTTCCGCATCTCTGACCGCCCCGTCGCTGCGTCGTTTGCGCACCCATATTCCTTCCAACCCATTCCCGACTACTCACTACGAGATGAGGCGTGCGTGATGGCGACAAGCACGCTGGGCGGCGTGGAAGGAGTGTGGGTGCGGTACTGGGACGAGGCGTCCACGGCGGCCGTGCTCGAGTTCACGGTGGAGGAAGAGGCCCCGTCCACTAGTGCCACCCCTGCCCCAAAGGAGAAGAAGGAGAAGAAAAAGAAGGGTGAGTACCAGGGAGGTTCTGAATATGATCTCCGTCACTCACGGAGACGTGCCCTTGCAGATACCACGCAAGAGACATCTGTCGAGGCCTCCGCCCTACCCGTATCTGACAAACCAGTGACTTTGAGCTTCAAAGGCGGCTTGTCGATAGCAAAGCCTGGCCCGGCTGGACCATCCAAGAAGGCCGTGCCCCTGTCCCAGGCTTTCTCGATGGACGACGCTGCTGAGGGCGAAGGGGATGCGACTACGACTGACGCGACTGCGACCGAAGATCCGAAGGGTTTGTCGCGATGCTGGGAGACACAAGTTTGTGCGGGTTGGCTGACCGTGTTGTCTCGGCTGGTGTAGTTGCTGCCTCTAAGAGAGTCGCTCCGCTGATCGCGAGCAAGAAGGTCTGTTTCCGCATTGCCCGCTGTTTATGAAACCGACGCTGAGCCGTTCATCGTCTCGCAGACTGTGAACAACATCAACAAGTGGAACCAGGTTCAGGATGTCCTACATCATGACGCACCGCAAGAAGTACCCGCCACGCAACCGGTTAGCATGCTTACTTTGTCCTTGACGCTTATGTTCACCCCGTGCAGGTGGAGACTCCAGCCCCGGTTGCTCCTGTCGCCGCAACACAGCCGGCTGCTGTCAAGGCTTCTACGCTCACCGAGACCGCGGAGACTGAGTTCGAATTCTCAGACACCAAAGCCATGATTTGTCTGCTCTGTGCGCGACAATTCAAATCGCTCGATCAGCTCAAACGACACAACAAAGAGTCGGACCTTCACAAGGTTGGTCATCCGTCCCAAGACGTCCACCTAAACCCCTTATGCCATAACGATCCCCATCTCCAGAAAAACTTCAAAGACGCAGCCTTGCGCGAAGTCGCCAGAGAGAAGGTCCGCGCCGCGCGCGCAAAGGCCGAGGCCCAGCAGCCAAAGTACCGCGATCGTGCGTCGGAGCGGCGCGTCATGCACAACCAGCCCGATGTACCCCGCCCTTCGTCTGATGACAAGCCGGTTGCCAAGCGCAAGCACTCGGAGGGTCCCCCACCACCGGAACCGCCACCCGCCCCACCCGTCAATCCTGGCAAGGACGAAAGCAACATTGGGAACAAGTTGTTGAAGATGATGGGCTGGAAAGAGGGGCAAGGCCTGGGTACGGAAGGCGAGGGCAGAGTGGATCCTATGTGCGTCTCTTCAATTGCATATCTTTCAGGCTGTTGCTCATGACGCGTTCTGCTGTAGCCAAACGGCCCTCTATGCCGCCGGTGCTGGGCTTGGGGCGACGAAACCGAAGGATATCACCAAGTTAGCCAGCGATTATACCGGATACGTCAATCTGGCCAAGGATGCTGTACGTTTTCGTCAGCGCTGCTTCTTATTAAGTCTGCTTATATATTCATCATCAGGCTCGTGAGCGATATGGAAGCTAAGCATACCGCTAAGCTGCCAATCGCTGTTCTTTTGTACGCATACTGTATCCCAGCTGTTGCCACTGCTGTAATGTTGTCTAAGCTTTGTTTTCGATACGCGGCCATTCTGTGTCTCCCTTTTCAGTGTCCTTACTATATCACCCGCGTTTCTGTCCATGCTGAGATGCACAACTGTAAGGGTGACATTGACCCTTAGCACGATCAAGCCCGGTAATGTGCACATATACCCGCCGGTAGGTGAGAGCGTAAGTTCTCAGTCATTCTGCCTTTTGGCGCTATGACGGGCGGGTTCAAGCCACTTCACACTAACGTTGTCTTGATAACAACTCTGTTAAATCATACACACATCTCCACTTTTAGAGTACTCTCTGCAACTGCATAGATGCGACGTATCTATAGCCCAACCCAAGTGAAACCCTGCTCCAAGGCGAACTCGCCCTCCAGCACTATGTCCGCGCTACTCTTCCCGATGTGCACGCCGTATATGCCCGGGACCGCCTTCCATTGCTGTCCAGGCGTGTCCCACCACGACACTGCATACTTGTCCAGCTTGACTGTGACAGTCTGGCTTTCCCCAGGAGCAATGTCGCGGGCTTTTGTGAAGCCACGCAACTGCAGCTTGGGCGTGGTCAGCCCGATGTCGGGTAGGGATATGTAAACCTGAATGACTGCGGAGCCCACGACAGCTCCGGTGTTGGTCACGGTGACGCTGACCTCGAGTTCGAAGTCGGGACCTTTGTGGACCGAGGTGGTGGAGAGCGCGAGATGGGAGAACGAGAACGTCGTGTATGATAGGCCATATCTGACGAGGCACGCGGCAGACTCAGCACGGAATGTTCTACGTTGCGAACGAGGACAGCACGTACCCGAAGGGGAACAGCGGCTTAATTTTCTTGGCCTCATAACCCTTGTAGCCAACGAAGAGGTCCTCACGATAGTGAATCTGACCATTCTCACTCTTGAAGTTCGGGTACGCAGGAATGTCCTGGACGCGTACAGGTAACGTGAGAGGTAGTCGTCCGCTGGGGTTGATTGTCCCGTAGATAACGTCAGACAGGGCATTCCCAACTTCGTTACCGGAGTACCACGCTTGGATGATACCATGCACTTCGTCCACCCAAGGCATAGCGACTGCAGAGCCCTTTTGATGCACAGATTGGATTGTATACAGCAGAAGAACGGGGTGGACTCACAGCCTGGATGACGACGACAGTGTTGGAGTTGGCCTTCCCGACACGAGCGATAAGCTCGTTCTGTCTTCCGGGCATGTCAAGACTGGGCCTATCGAAGCCTTCACTCTCCCAGTCTGGAGACAACCCAGCGACAAGAATGACGACGTCGGAGGAAGCGGCCAACTGCTCTGCTGCGACGAGAGCCTCTTCTTCATCGATCTTCTCTATACCACCCAACCGCTAAAGAATATTTCATTTGATCGCACTCCCCAGATTGCCTGACTCAAACAAGAAGTTGTCACTCACGACTCCGCGCATCAGGGCTGGTTGTGACCTATCCGACTCCGGGCCTTCGGGAGGCTTTGTGTTCGTATACTCAACAAGGATGTCGACGGGAACGCCGGCAGTGAGCGAAACGGTGCCCAGCTCTTCCACTGTACCTTGGCTGAGCGTAATGAGTGCGCAGGGTGGTTTCCATGAGATTGGGACTGTACATACCCATAGAAGAAATCGCCCGGACGCTGCTTGGTCCAATTGTCGATGGTCAACTCGCCGTTGACGTACAACTTTGCTCGCCCGGCGACAGTAAGACCGAGGTCATAGTCAGCCGTCTTATCCATCGTCAGTTTACCGCGAAGCTTGATCGTCCATGTCTCGGTCAGACCCAATGGCAGGAAATCGTTCAGCTTGACTCGGGTGTCTTGAAGGACGTATTCCATGACGGGATCACCCGTAGGGTTCCCGTGCTTGTCATGGTTGTAAAAGGTGCAAGACCATCCTGGCTCACCGGACGGCGTTTGCAGGTACGCCTCTAGGGTCGGCGTGAACTTGTGTGCTGTAAACACAACGTCAGTGATTGTACAATGTACCTTCAGCCCGTACTTGCCATAGCAACCAACTTCGTGCTTGAACTCAATGCCTTCCGGCGCGTTGGCCACGAGTCCTTCAAAGGGCGTCACGACGTAGGTGGGTCTCAAGGCGGCAGATCCTCCGCCTGATATGACTCTTTCCTTGACCTTCGGACCAATCAAAGCAACAGTTTTCACCTTCCCGTCCTTCACAGGTAAGACGTTTCCGGCATTCTTCAGTACGACCATGCCCTCTGCAGCGAGCCTTCTGCAGAACGCACGACCCTCGGGCGAGTCGCGGGATCGCTCTTCGCCGTCGCCAAAGACGACATCGGGGTTGCGACGAGCCTGACGCTGGACAAAGCTGAGGATACGCGTAGCGTGCTCGTCGAGTGTCGACTCGAACACCTTCTGGCACGATAGCAGGTGGCCAATCAGCAATGGAGTACGCCATCGGGGAGGGCCCGGCATCTCTATGTCAAGTCCCGCGTTGATCGCGAGGTCAGAGCTGTAGGTGCCGAACCTATGTGAGGGGTGAGTAGAAGTCGAACACATCTCAAGGACAACCGTGAATACCAATCGCTCATGACGATGCCGTCGAAGCCCCACTCCTTCCTCAATATGTTCTGGAGCAGTGTTGGGTTCTCGGCACAATGGATGCCGTTGATTCTCCCGTAGCTGCCAGCATGATTAGTTGATGTGCGCTTCCTCGGTCGAAGGTAATTCGACAAACGATGTCATGAAAGCCCATGGCTGAGCTTTCTTCTGTGCAAGCATAAAGCTGGTAGCACCCCCATGAGATTGCTTACCCGTGATGACAGACCGAGGAGACAGGGCATACGGATAGAGATAAATCTCTCGCAGAGCACGCTCTGACATGACGGACTCTGCGGCAGTCCGCTCATGCTCCTGGTCATTCCCGACGAAGTGTTTGATAGTAGCCGCGACGCCTTGGGCCTGCAGGCCATCTACGTATGCTGCCGCCATCATGCCTATCGAGATATGAGGATATCAGCTTCCTCAGGAAGACGAATCATTTATCTAAAGCCATACCCGACAAATGCGGGTCCTCAGAGAAGGATTCGAATGCACGACCGCCAAGAGGGTTACGCTGGAGATTACAAGTCGGCGCGAGCAATATTACGGAAGACTTGATCTTGGCCTCCTCGCCGAGAAAGGAGCCGACTTTGTAAAGAGCATCGGTATCGAAGGTGGAAGCCAGTGAGGTGGCACACTACGCGCCCAGCATGTCAGTCAACGTTCGGGGATACGATTTGAGGCTCCAAGAAGTACCGGGAGGCACTGTGCAGGAGTAGCGATGAAGTGTGAGGATCCGCGAACTCCCTTGATAGCGGACAGAATTGATTAGTTTCAATGATCCCTGCTGAACCTGGCTGAATACAGACGTTGGGTCCATCGCTCATACGAACGGCGGGAATGCCGAGCCGGTCTACTGCGTTAGTATTCCACCAGTTAGGGCCACTGAGGAGCCTGATCTTTTCCTCAGTCGTCAGCTTCTTGACGAGGTCAGGGATAGACGCGTTCAGGAATGAGTGCGACATCGTGCCGTCGCCTTCGAGTCACTAAATGTAGTCAGTGTACCCTCGAGCGCGCTGGGGACAGGCAACATGAGAAAGGCTTATATGAGTGTGCTACGCTCGGGAAAACCTCGGAATGGCATCCAAGCCGTGTGTCGGGCCGCCGGCTTGACGACGAAGGGGAGCACACCGAATGTGTTCCAAGGCTGTAGAGTTCACCCAATTCTCTGGCGGCGAAATGAATAATTTGTGCCTGCTTTATCGTTGACCTAGAGCCATTATAGGAATAGGACTCACATTCTGCACAGGGCGGATCGTATATTTTTGGAAAGCGGAGAATTGGGGGCTCGATAAGAAGGACATCTGCTGTACTATGTACATAGAACCGCGACTGCCTACCGAGCATGCCCAATGTGTACCGTGACCCGTGGTTCCGATGAGAAAACATGTACGGAGGGTTTTGCGTCAGGATGCGAGTCATGGGATGCCGGTTGACGATAGTGTAGTGAGACGCCGATGGCTCGGGATTCCGGCGCGAAGGTCAAGCATCAAACCACCGTGACGGGCACGCGTGCCTTGCCAGCCCGGGTCGAAGCGCTGGTATTCGCCGAATGTCTCGGAGCGTTACAATCGGTCCTTGCCCCCCAACGTTGGTTCAACGCCCCCCCCCCCCGTCGAGTCGGTTTGCGGAAGCAGCGAAACCCAAAGCTTTTCCCGACGTGTGAAGTTGGTCGTGGCATCTCTATCATTCCATGATGGGTAGTCAGGCATGTCATTCGTATCTTCGTACATGAAAGATGAGCAGGTACTATCGAGCAAGGTTCTTGAATCGCTACTTATACATCACGGTCAGGCTTAGAGCCGCTGGCTGCGACTCGATCTGCGGGAAAGCGATCAGAGAACGCTCATCGGACACCTTCTGAATGGGATACACATACTAGGCGGCGGTCTGCTTGGGGACGGGCTGGCCAGTGCCAATGCGGCTACCAAACTTGTAGTGCGTGTTCATCTCCTGGTTCAACACGACCTTCGCCTCCTTCTGGAACACCATCACGATGTCCGACCCGCCCAACTGGAAGCACGAGATCTCCTGGCCCTTCTCGACGTAGTCGCCCTTCTTCACGCTCAGCACCACCGACGACACCTGCGCCATGCCGATCGGCAGCACGGCGACGAGCCCGATGTCGCTCTCGATGAGGATGAGCCCGCGGGCCTGGATGAACTGGTAGCCGGGGGAGTCGGGCGCGTCGGGCACGAGCTCCGCGGAGACCTTCTGGGAGCGGTTTGCGTTCCGGCGGATGGCCTCCTGGTGGGAGACGACGCGAGAGTCGTCCTTCTTGGGTCTGATTTGGCGGTGCATCCCAAGGTGCGGCCGGCCCCCCGGGGTCTTCGAGTCGGCCTCCTTGAGGACGACCTCGAGGTAGCAGAGGCCGGGGATGACCTTCGCCTCGAGGACGCGGCCCGAGACAGGCGCGTGCTGGCGGTGGTAATCGGTCGTATTGAGGAAGGAGTGCGTGAAGACTCCTCCAGCGAAGGCGGGTCCGTAGTAGGTCCCGGAGGCCTCGTCATCGAGCAGCTGGCTGATGCTCCACGGGACGCCCTTGACGTCGAAGGTGGTCACGTCCGCAGTGTCCTCGTTGATCGGCCACTGCCCGTCGAAGGAGCAGTCGGCGGGGCAGACGATGGCGGTGGGGTCGTCGCGGTCAGCAATGGGACGGAAAGTGGGGTTGATGTGACGTGCGAAGAAGTCGTTGAAGTTCTTCCATCCCCCGGATGGACGGGGGTATTGGTCGAAGAAGTCGGTCTCAGGGGTGTCGCGGTAAGCCAGGGAGTCCGCGAAGGTCTGAATGGTTTCCTCGTCGATAGACTCCGGTTTGTCCATCCAAAGCCCCATCTCCTGAGCGTACTCGATGAGCCAGTCCGACAGCCAGCGCCACGGGCTGCGCGACGCAGGGTCGATGGGGCTCTGGTGATCGCGAACAGGAGGGAGGTCAAGAACGAAGTAGAACATGCAGATATGGTAGTACACGTTTTTGCCGGAGTAGTCCTCGGTCGGCTTCCAGTGAACGAAGTCATCCATGAATCTGATGTAGCCATCGACGGAGTGGATGTTGAACGTGTCGAATTCCTTCAGGCCGGTGGCGTGGGCCATCAGGAAAGACTGCTCGAAAGCGGTCTTGAAGTCCGGGTTCTCCGTGAAGTACGCGACCAACTTCTGGACAATGCTCGTAGTAGGAACGTACGACATGGCTGAAGGATGGCAAGTCAGAAGGCAAGACGTTACTTGATGTTGGCGAAAGTCCCTTACTGTGAAACTGCGGTAGAATGGACACAACGATAGAGCGGGTCGATGAGGGGCTGGCTGACTGAAAGCGACGTTGAAAGTTGCTGAGAAGGTAGGCCGTGAACTACCCAGTTTTTATAGATACTTGACCGCCAAATATTGGGGTGCTTAACGTCATGCCACCGCACAATGCTGCTCCGATGGCTGGCTAGCGAAGTCCACGACCGAGTCCGACACATACTCGCTCGGTATGAAACAGGGAAGAGTCCAGCCTGAGTCCGGCACAGGTCAACACCGTACGGCTGGTGGCACTCATACGCGCTCATGACAGAACCACCGCGCCTTGAGGTACACTCGTGACCGAAGAGGCGCGTCGAGTGCACTGGAAAGAAGGCTTCCGAGAATCTAACCACGTCAATCCCCCACCTCGTGGAAGGCAAGGCACTCCAGCCACGCAGCACCTGTCATACGAAGGACCGAGGAGAGGACTGGGACTGTGACTGGGGAACTCCGGTTGACGCCTACTAATGGTTCGAGAGCCGGAAGAGATTCCATTGTTGGATAAGAACGCAAAGTCGCTCCGGCATGTTCGAGGCGCTGAGATGTGCTTCAGAAGAATGCAGACAAATACGTATGCTCACCATGTCCGAAGAGTAGCTCCTAACCTCGTGGGCCACTGCCCCCAGTGGGGAAACGCATGTCCGAACCTGACGTCGTCAAGTTGGGCGGAGAGGCCACGGATCCTGCATGGCTGCGAGTAGTACCGACGTGTTGAAGCGCCCAAGAGGGGGAGGACGAATCGGCGGAGAAAAGAGGGAGTCGTGTAGTACGTAGGCGACGTCAATCTGGGGAGTTGACAAGTCTCCCGGTTCTCGGCGGAGACGTGTGGTAAACGTCATATCTTTGCGGTGGGATGTCATTATAGTGTACCTGAATAACGAGAGGGGGTGAGGGCGAGCACCAAGTTGTTCATGCCAGTCATGTGGATCCTGGCCCGTCACCTGCTTAGCCTGTCATGGCAAATCAGACGATTCTGTGTTAATGCCAGAGCGACAGTTCTGTCCGTCATCATGCGCACCGTCAGTTGCAAGTAGGGAAGGGACGTGAGCGTCCATTCGTCTGTTGAGGAGTCGCGGCAGCGAGCGCCCAGAGGACGGTGATTGGCAGAGCAGGCGCCTGCATGAACATCCGAGAGATAAGATAGACGCTCGTGGAAGGCGTCGGAGAGCGCTCGAATGGCCTCGGCCACGAGTCCTTGCTTCGAGTCCTCTCGAGCACCGTTCGCAACACATCTCCCAGTGCCTGCCCCAATCACCTGTGAGTACACAACCACGATCATGTCAGACGGCATCGACGACACTCCTACCAACCTTGTCCGCCCCAAGACCGACGCTACGCTCACCATCCGTGTGATCAAGTCCTTCGAGTACCGAACCGAGCGCAGTCTCGTTCTCCACCATGTAAACCTTGAGGACACCACCGTCGGTCAGCTCAAGGAACGAGCACGTCAAGGTAACCGCCCAAGCTGTCTCGCCTTCCGTCCAACCTTGCGAACCGTGGACCGCCTGCTTTAGCGATCCAGACCCAGCCAGGATGGAAGCCGTATCGTAATACAATCCTTGGTGAGTTCAATCCTCACGCGGCGTGTTCCTTTGACCGCCTGACACTTTTCTCAGATACGCTCAAGCTGTACACGAAGGCGCATGGAGCTAAGGTGGGCCCACGTTTTATGGAAGGCTCTCTAGTTCTTCTTGCTGACTAGTATCAGACCACGAACCTGATTATCAACCTGGACCACGACGAGTGGATATTTGAAGACGACTCGAAGACCCTTGCTGACCTGGGTCTTGGTACGGCCTTCTGATATGCATGTTATGTCCGGGGGATCTCACCTCGATGTACAGAGAATGAGTCGGAAGTCAGCTTCTTCAATCGACAGACATACGAGGAATTCAAGCAGCACCCTGACGTAAGTTCCCAACCGCGTACATCCAGTCTCTGCGCGGCTGCTAAAGTCCTCAACGATCAGACCAAGTGGGAAAGCTGATAGGTGGTTTTTGCGAGGCAGACCGGGGTCTGCGTTCGGCTACCCGTGCAGTCTCGGACTGTCATCAATGAGGTCGTCACTCTTTACTCTCGTGCTTGCAGCAAACTGTACGATAGCCCCTTGTAGTTTGTGTACGAACGAACGTCTTGTTCAAGTTTCGTCGTAAGCCGACATGGGCCCTTGTGCACGTGTGACTGACGCGTGACGACACGCGGAGTGACAGAGTCGCGCTCGCGACGCGTGCAACGGCACCCAGTACTCTCGCTCTCTGCCATCGCCAACCACCATACGCATCATCATGGCCGTCGACTCGCAGCGCGAGGAAATCCCTCGTATATCCGTCGAGACCCTCGACGACTGGCGGCGCATCAAGAGAAACTACACCATCGCCGCCCTCACCGCCCTCGACGAGCAACTCTCTGGCAACGGTTCCGCAGAAGACCGCCAAGTGCTTCTTGCGCATCTTCATCGTGTGTGTTGCTGCTCCTCAATCTATACAGCAAACCCCGGCTTATTTGTGTGCTCCGCTCAGTTCATTGATAGAACGTTCGAAATGGCACGACGAAACGTGCGCGTGAACGGCCAGAACCTGGAGGATCTGAACGAGGATGAAGTCGGTGCGCCCCGCTGCCTTTGTTTTCCATGAACAGCCTTTCATCGGTCTGTGTGCAGACACAGAGCCATTTGATGAGGGCTTTGACCGGCACATCTGGTCTCTGTCCGACCAAAGCCTCCGATGGGACCTGCAAATAGCCCGCGAACGACGTACAAGACCGGAAGAGATCGAGAAACAGATGCGCGACCTCCTCGCAGCTCAGAAGGAGCTCGATGCGGAAGAGGCTGCGGCGTTGGAGGACGTCCAAGATGAAGAAACGATGGTGCAGGACGATAGTACGTGTTGTGTGTCGTTCGCTCTCCCCGATGTGATGTTCACCCTGCCCCAGTTCCTCCTGATGCATATGCGCGCATCGACGAGGTCGCATCTCAAACGTTCGCCCTGGTGGAGGAATTGAAGCAGGTGCGTAGTCGTCCGGCCAATTAACGTACAGGTGTCGACCTTGATTTCTGCGTAGGCTGTGCCAGTACAGCTAGAACGTTCCGAACGCGTCAAGACCGTTGCAGAAGAGATCAAATCGTTGAAGTTGTAGGATTATCCTAGTGTACCCCCACCCCATTGTAGCCTTAACATCATCCCGCTGAATTCATACGGATATCTGCACACAACGCCTTCGCGAACATACGAGAGGATCGAAACAACAGCAAGAGAAAGTATAGCGGAACAAACTCGTACAACAACCGCGTCTGAGTATACAGAAGTTATGAGCCACGACCCCGACCGAAGCCGCGTCCTCCTCCCCCGCGCCCTCTTGGTGCGCCCCTCCCACCACCGAATGTGCCCCTGCCTCTTGGTGCGCCGCGTCCACCACCGAACCCACCACCAAAGCCACGGCCTCCCCTTGGGGCACCGCGCCCACCAGGTCCACCGCGACCTCGCCCGCCAGCGCCCCCTCGTCCGCCTGCCCCTCGGGGCTTTTTGACACCTGAAACGAGAATGTTCAGCACTGTATACGATGAGGAAAGAGTGGAGATTCGCACCGGCGATCTTGGGTTTCGGCAAGAACCTCTCAATCGGCAAAAGTTTGTCACCCCCGATGTACACCTTGTCGCCCTTCTTGAAGCTGCTCGCAACCATGCCCTCGCCCATCTTCACGGAAAAGTAGACCTCGTTGATGGGCCCGAGGATCTCGTCGACGCGTCCGATGACGATTTTGTTTTGTAGGTAGATGGGGGCATTGAAGTAGGGAACCTTGTCGGGCATGAGTGACTGGCAGAGCATTTCGTCTTCCACTGCGTGCATGAATGTGCCCATCTCTGAGGACGATCAATCGAGGAATCATCTTTGAGTCGCATGGGTCAATAGGATAGCGAAAAATAAACACACCGAAAACTGTGTCCGGAGGGCCATTATCCCTCTGCTGGAACCCGCCCCTACCACCACCGCGGCCTGTCGTAATTACCATCACTGTGATAAAATATGCACATGTGTCCTCCCAGTCGGATAGACGTACCTCCGCCACGGCCACCAAATCCTCCTCCTCGGCCTCCTCTGCTCATAATTCAGACTAGAATATCCCAGTGGTTGCAAGAGAGTCCCAAGACTTTACCGGCGGCAGGTACTGACAGCCACCGAATACACGTTTCACCGGCTCCGCGGGTTGAGAGAAGGCGAGGAGGAAACACGGGCGTTGAAGGCGAGGAGGACGAGCCGGACGGTGGTCGAGCGTGAAAAAGTGTGCAGCACGGGCGCCTCTCCGCGTCTCTCCCCGACTCGGTGCAGTCTGAGTCCCATGGCTTTCTTGTTCCAGCGTCCGCCCTTCGCACACATACCGACCCCTACATTTCACGAGGCCAGCGACGACGTTGCGCACGTATCAGAGAGACTATGGAATGCACTGCTGCTTGCGGAAGACGAGAAAGCTACGCTCTCCATCACGCGGAATGCGGGGAACAAGAACCGCGGTAGTACCGGCTTGCCCTCCCTAACCTGCCGTGGTGTGCTGGACAGGACTGTGAGCACATTGTGTCTTTCTTATCGAAACTATTCTAACCCAAGCATTGCCGTCGCACTAGAATGAAGGTCTCTCTCTACCCAAGAGCTGGCAAACCGAATACCCTCACATATTCCCTGCCGGACAAGCCAGCTCGCGTTCGGAGAACACTGACCCCACCCACTCGGTCTCCGTCGTGCAACCTGTGATACTCTCAGAGGTCATCTTTTCTGCACTTTCAGGCGATGCATATGCTGCTGCGTCCTCTGACCCCGCCGTGCTCGAGGACTGGTTGCTAGACGAAGACATGATCCTCCGCGAAGGCGCCACTTACTCTCCCGACGGTGTTGCTAGCTCCTCGTCGTTGTCGTACAAGCTCGTCATGGCTTCTCCGGTCCAACAAGGCGTCGCTCGACGCGGTCAGACAAGGCTTTACGTTTCCGCCCACCCCGGGCAGGATAACGAAGTCCCCGCGGAGGACTCTATACCCGACATGGTCGTCGATGGGGAGGAGGACTCGGAGCCGTCTGGCTCAGAGAAGGGTGACTTCGAGATTGGGGAGGACTTCCTCGCAGGCTCTGTCCTCCGCTCGCTTGTCCACACCGGTTCAAGCCCCTCCGTCAATGGTCATTCGACGAACGGAGACCTCGCCGGTCTCAACGGGACGGAAAGCGGCAGCAGTCTCCATTTATCGTCTACGATGGAGTGGACGTGCAGAGCGTATCCATTGCAGCAAGCTGTCTCGTCCATTGAAGATGAATCCACCGTCTATGTCCGCACGTCGGAGTTAAGTCACATTGGTGTGCTAGATGGCGACTGGGTAGGTTCCGTCGTTCACGGTACCAGAGTAGCACGTTGACCTCGCTCAGGCCGTTATCCGCTCCGCCCACCACAGTAACAACTACCGCTTGGTGCGGGTGCACGCACGAGATGACATTGCGACTAGCTTGTGAGAGCATGAGAACTGTCCCTGCTTTCACCCGAAACTTAGCCGATGCAATCTACAGGGGTGCCTACCTCTCCCCACAGCTCCTGCATAACATCAATCCTCACACGGCGTTCGACCGCAAGACCGCAGTCTGTCTCCGCCCAAGCCCTTTCGGCTCACGTAGACCCACTATACCAGTTGCGAAGACAGTCACGATTGCTCGCGTTGCATCCGCCTTCTCCACGGACCGCACCTACCAAGTGCTTTTCCTGCAAGCCTTGCAGGAATACTTCAAGCAGTCCACGCGTCTCGTGAAACAAGGCGACGTCATCGCTGTCGGCATCAACACTGATGACCTCGTCAGGCAACCTAGTGCACTTGACGAGGACGGCGGGGAGGTGGCTGTGGAAGAGATCGACGAGTTAGTACCCAATATGCCAACAGTGATCGTTGAATCAACCTCTCCACAGTGCTGTTGACCACGAGGGATGCGTCAACGAACTCGTCTACTTTCTTGTGACGAACGTCGAGCACAACGTTCCATCACGCTTAGGCGATATGTCGTCTCCAGACATGTACGTCGGAGCCACGGTTGGTGAGCTTGGGTGCTGGGTAGACACCGCGACGACCCGTATGGTGCAAACTGGCATCGAGCACTCAAGAGTGCCGGACATGGGCATATACCTCCGCAAAGGTATCTCCGAAATTATCCTACTACAATGCTGAATCGCCACTGACATCGAGCAGCGCAGAAGGTGCTTCCACCGATGGACTTAGCTCCCAGCCAGAACACGCCCTTTGGCAAGCTCTTGGCGCTCTCCTCTGCCGCTCTGAACCGCCGTGCTGTGGACTATCACTTGCAACTGTCGATCTTGCTGCAAGGTTCGCGAGGAGTCGGAAAGGCGACAGTCGCAAGCTGGGTAGCGCAGCGACTCGGCATCCACCTCTTCGAAGTGAGCTTCCTAGAGTGATCGAGGTTCCATTCCCATCGCTCATCCCATATGCTAGGTCGATTGCTACGACGTGATCGGTGATACTGATGCGAAGACCGAGGGGACACTCCAGGCTCGCTTCGAAAGAGCGTCAGACTGCTCGCCTTGCATTCTGCTTCTGAGACATATCGATGCTTTCGCCCAGAGCACACAGGGACAGGAGCCAGGAAAAGGCACGTCACCTTGAGCCTTTCTTGAATGAGCGCCGTATTCTGATTGTATGCCTGAAGAACCTGCTATTGCGGAGGCACTCCGCGATTGCATCGCAGGTCTACAGCCTTCGTGGAATCTCACCGGTTTCCCCGTCATACTCTTTGGCACGACCGACAGTCACGAGAGGGTGCCACCTAAAGTTTTGTCCTGTTTCAAGCACGAGGTGGTCTTCGAGGCACCAGGGGAAGCAGAGCGCTACAACATCTTACTGTCGGCATTGGCTGACAGCACGCTTGCGCCCGACGTCTCCGTCAAGGATCTAGCCGTTCAAACCGCAGCGCTCGTCGCAGCAGACCTCGTCGATCTCGTGGCCCGTGCCAAATCGGCAGCGATTGTGCGATCCACCACCGAAGACAGCACTGCATACGACGTCTTCTCGGCTGGGATACCTCTCACAGCCGCCGATTTCGACTTCGCGCTTGGCAAGGCGCGAGCGTCCTACTCGGAGAGCATTGGCGCCCCTAAGATACCCTCCGTGTCATGGGACGACGTCGGCGGTCTCGCGCATGTCAAGGCTGACATCCTGGATACGATCCAGTTACCCCTTGACCACCCGGAGCTATTCGCCGATGGGCTGAAGCAGCGTTCAGGCAAGTTCCTTTCCGCGACCTTCCTCGGTCTAGCTGAGGTATATCTGTAGGTGTCCTGCTCTATGGTCCCCCTGGAACGGGAAAGACGTTGATCGCCAAGGCTGTTGCAACATCCTGTGCCCTCAACTTCTTCTCCGTGAAGGGTCCAGAACTCCTGAATATGTACATCGGAGAGTCGGAAGCGAACGTCCGCAGGGTGTTCCAGCGTGCCCGTGATGCGCGTCCTTGTGTGATCTTCTTCGATGAGCTTGATTCCGTGGCTCCCAAGCGAGGCAACCACGGAGACTCGGGTGGTGTCATGGATCGTATCGTGAGCCAGTTGCTAGCCGAGTTGGACGGTTTGTCGGGAGGGCAAGCCGGCGCAGACGTGTTCGTGATAGGTGCTACGAATCGACCAGATCTGCTCGACCCTGCTCTGCTCCGACCGGGACGGTGAGTGCTACTTTGTGTAGGTACAGCCTCATCACGATATTGATATCATAACAGGTTCGATCGCATGTTGTATCTCGGGGTCAGCAACACGCACGAAGCGCAACTCAACATCCTGCAAGCACTGACACGCAAATTTAAACTTCATCCGGATTTGAAGTTGGAGCGCATAGCGGAACAGTGTCCCTTCCACTACACTGGCGCAGACTTCTACGCGCTTTGCGCAGATGCGTTATTGAAGGCGATGTCGCGGAAGGCAGAGGAATTAGAGGCTACAATCGGTGCGACCGCACGGACGTGCTGAATCAATGAGATCGTGCTGACCTTAGACCAGCGAAAATAAATGCGTCTCCGCCACCGGATTCACCGCATCCCTTCCCACTTACGCCGCAGTACTATCTGGGCGAATTGGCCACACCAGCAGAAACGGAGGTGCTAGTCTCCGAAGATGACTTCAATGCAGCGTTGCGCGAGCTTGTACCGAGCGTCAGCCAAGCGGAAATGGACCACTATGCACGGATACAGCAGAGGTTTTCTAATGAGGCGCTAAGTGAGAGGCATCGTAGTTAGTGGAGACAACTTTACAGAATTTGATAGACATCAGCTCCGTGATAATGCACGATGTCATCGGAAGGCAAAGAGGGAGACGAAACACAGATGTAAGGGTCGCCAAAGGGTCAAGTTGGCTGCACTGCCACCATGGTACGGGTCTAGACCAGTTCAGATCCTCGCGTCGATCCGCCACCCGGGCCGGCTGGCCATGGACCACACTTGCCCGATACTACAAGTCCACAACCACCACGCGACTGCATTGGCCTCATCACCTCAATGGCTGCCGACAACCGAACGTCGAATAGCCTTGCCTACGCTACTGCCCGCGTATCCTACCCCACGAACCTGGCTTCCGCAGAGGACATTCGCAAGTTTGTCGACCTCGAAGCCGAGAAACGCATACGAGCCATCCAGACCCTCCAGGAGGACATCGCCCATCTCTACGAGCTCCAGAATGCCTTCTCTCCGGTTAACAGACTTCCTAATGAGCTCCTTGGCCAAGTGTTTTCCTACCTGAAAGGCCCCGGGGGTGAAAATGGAGACCTCATTGACGCCACACACGTCTGCAGGCATTGGCGTGCCGTCGCTACCAACGATTCAAAACTGTGGTCCTCGTTCGCCCTCCACAGCTCCCTCGGAGTCGAGGAGTGTCTAGCACGCTCCAGGAACCTACCAATATCCCTCTCACTCGTCAAACCACCCGATCCCGCTTCTGCGAAGCTCCTTGAGCAGGCTACCCACCGAGTGCGCAACCTCTATGTTGCGATCCCCGAGGCAAGGGCTATTGAAGTGCTGCTGAGCACGATCAGGAACACGGCACCCCTTTTGGAAGAGTTGCACGTCAAGCATCTCCACTGGAGCCCGTTAGATGAACCACAACGCAAGCGGGGTCGCCCTGTGCGGATTGGCGAACCACCTCTCTTGTACAGCGAGCGGGCCGACTTCCCATCACTTCGTTCCCTTATCCTCCATGATGTTCCGCCATTTTTCCTTCCCACCGCTTCATTAGAACATCTCGAGCTCCATATGAACGCGAAGTCCGGGCCCGGGTTCACCAGAAGCCACAGTCTCCCCCCGTTATCCAGGCTCCTGGACATCCTTGAAAATTGTCCTCGGCTTCGCGAACTCGACCTTGCTGGCCAATGCGATATGACCAATACGATTGTTGCCCGAGAGCAACCCGTCACTCTGGCAAATCTCTCGTCGATGTCCCTCATGGTTCAGCCTGCAACGGCTACCGCCTCCATCCTCTCTCACCTCGCCCTCCCTCAGACGGTCAATCTCCACATCAAGTCCAATCTCCTCCTGGGTGAATTCTTCGGGGACGTCATGAGCACCCTCACACCTCTATCCCCCGCGCTTCATTGGACAGAAGGCCTGCGGCGCCTTCAGCTGACTTGGGGGACATACCCGTATCGGCTCGAGGCTCACCGCGATCCAAACGACTTCGCGTGCCCTCCCGCGCTGGATTGCCACGTTCGGTGTCGGAATCTTCTCGCCGACCTGGGGAACGACCTGGGGCACGTCAGCAGCTTCCTCAACGGCTGGACGACTGCGATCAATACTTCTAACGTCGAGGAGCTCGTCCTGTCTTACGACGCAGCCCACGGGACCTTTGAGGTTCCCTATCAGCTGCCGGTAGCGCAGTGGTCCTCCCTCCTCCGTGCGTTACCGAACCTCAAGTCTCTTCGCGTCATCGGGCTCGAGACCCCCAGCGCGGCCACACTGATGCAGGCGCTGGGGAGGGTTGGGACGGAGGTCCATTGTCCGAAGTTGGAGACCCTGGAGTGGATGTACGTCAAGATTGACGCTTGGCGGGATCTGTGGGATATAGCTGTGGCCCGCTCTGCGGGGGAGCAGTCCACTGAGACGTTCAAGAAGCTGGAGCTTTTCAGCTGCAGCGGGCTCCAACTTCGGGGCACAGAGTGGGAGAGACTGTTCAACGTCCTAGGTGTTGAGCTTGGTGTCGACGAAGACTGAACAAGTAGACAGGCTTACTCCTCTCATGCAACTTCATCTCGTATCCTCTGAGGTCCAGTTCGACTCTGGGTTATATACCCATGTCTTTCTTCAGGTACTAACCGACACCGTCACTCAGTCCCATGTATTGTTTGTGTGCTTTGTATTGCGGGGTGAGTGGGAAGACTGGCAGCCCACCGAAGGTACAGATGAGAAGGCACACTTCACTGACTCAACCTACAATTGACTCAAGCGGAGCCACCCACTCACGCGAAAGCATCGCCCAGGAACTAACAGTCGCCTTCGTCAGGCTGTCCCAGTGGCAGGGTGGCGAATATGGCCGAAATCAACAGCACATTTACAAGCAAACAAGAGTCGACTTCGTTAAGAGGGGTAAACGTATCGTAACATACCAAGTTCATTGCATGATAGTAGGGGAATAATACACAACACGACGTCTCGCAGTCCGAATCCAATATCTATCGCACCATCGACTATTGCACAGTGAAGGATACCAGTACACCCGCACCACGTCTAACCTTCGTCGCGCAAACACACCTAAGTCAAAGTCATCAAGCATTCGCAGGAGAACGTCAAGCGTGAAGTGCGTTGAGAATGAGGAGTCTGGAGTCTAGAACCACTTGCTCGGCTTAATGCCGATCTTGTCAAGCATCCCCTTGAAGGATTGCGGGACGAGCGCGCCGATAGATGTAGAGATCTGTAGCTTCACGGGCTTGCCGAGCACCTCGAGGCTGGGGAACACAACGCGTCAGTCAATACCAGGGGGAAGGAGCACTTGAGTGTACGAACTGGTATGCGGGCTTGCCATCAATCATGATCTCAACCCTCACTACAGGGTGCTGGGGATCCCTGGTATCGACCTCAATCGAGGACCTGGTTGGGCAGAGGTCAGGCTGGCACCCACGTCTGATGTTCAGGGAGAGCGACGGACCACTTATAGTTCCCCTCTCCAATATACTTGATGACCTTCTCCTTCGGAACCTCCACGACATACTGCAACACTTCCTTCGTCCCATCCTCAGCCACCAAGACCTCCTCCACCGTCTTGTTCACGATCTCCTCGCTGCGCGGCCGTAGCGTGCGGATGAACGGCACGTAGAACATGCTCATCGGGCTCGTGGAGATCTCGAGCACGTTGTGGCCATGGTCCCCGCTCTCGTACTCGATCGCCGCGAACTCGTGGCGGTCACCCGAGAGGAGGATCACGTTCGGCACAGACTGAAGCGCGCTCAGCAACGTGGCCTTCTCGACGGGGAAGCCCGCCCACGAGTCCGTCAGGGCGTCGTGCGTCCAAAGCGATGTGAAGGGAACGGAGGTCACGATGAACTTGAACACTGCCGTGTTGTTCACCTGTCAAAGATTGAAACTCATGTAAGACATGGAAAGCGCCACAGGAATGGAACCAGAGCGCACCTTGCCAAGCCAGTTGTACAGTGCTCCGAGCTGCTGGTCACCAAGCATCGTGTGCGTCGTGGGGTCCTCGGAGGTGATATCGGAACGGTATCGGCGGGTGTCCAAGACGAAGAATGCCGCATCGCCGTAGCGGAAATCGTAGTAGTACTGACCCTCAGCAGGGGAGTCGTAGTTGGCATTCGCATTGTATAAGCTGAAAGCATCCGCAGCGTTAGGGAAGGGCTCTTGCGAGCTATTTCCTTGGCCGACGAAGTTGTTTATGATCTGCAGAATCGTGAGCGACAGCGCGCACGCAGGGAGCTCCATCATTCCTCACCTCATGATCGTCGTACGTGTGGAAGATGGCTGAAACTCTGATCAATCACAGGATTGGAAGCTCGGAGGATGCAGGGAACTCACGCAATCGCTCGTAGACTTTACGGAAGCTCGGACTGTTGTAATTGCGGCGGTAGAGACGGCGGTAAGCCTCTATGTCGTTGCCGAAGTACACAGGCACATCCGCATAAATGAAATCACCCATGAAAACCATGAACTCCGTCGGTGGAGCAGGCTTCTCAACAGCTGTTGCCGCCACGGGAGGAATCACATCGGAAGCAGGAGCGGGAGAAGTAGTATTCTCGGACGAGGCGATACTAGTGGTCGCAGCTGCCTCAACAGTAGAAGACACGCTTTCGGACAGACTAGACACAAGGGGGCTGGACGATGAGATAGCTTCTGGCTTGGAAGGCCAGAGATAGTCGGCAAGGAGGTCCAAACCCTTGATTCTACGTGCCTGCAGGGGCGCGTAGGGGAAGTTGGGGGTCATGCATGAAGAGGCAATGAAGCGGAAGTGGGAACCGCTGTGGAGACGCGAATCAGGGAAGGTGCGGAAGCGTATGGGCTCGGCTGGGTAGGGAAGGACGGTAATGTTGGCATCATTGACGTCCTCAAAGCGGTCTGCAGGGCCAGTAAGCTAAAGCGACACATACGCGGTAAGGGTGGATGACATACATTCGTAGGTCGTAGTCGGCCATAGGCCAGTCAGACGAACAGTTTGCACCCAGTCGTTCTCAGCGGTCAGGTTTGCAATAGGGCCCTCGCGCCATGCCTGGGGGCTAGACTTGACCTGACGGTAGGAGAGGCGAACGAGGTTCTCAGTAGAGTTGGCCGAAGGGGGGTAACGGACGACAATTTTAGCTGCATCTGGTGTGAGAGCGCCGACGCGAGTGTAAACGACGCCTGACGCGTCGTCAAAGTAGGGGACAGCGAGAAATTCGATAACAGCAAACAGGAGGATGGTGTTGATAGCGAGGTTCGCGAGGCGAAGTGCGCGGACGGGCGAAGGGACTGAGAAGATGACCGTAGAGAGCGCAGACTTCCACTGGCGCGCGGTGTCATGGTCAGGGGTGATGGACGTTGAACGAGAGCAGACATCACTCACATCAAGGGGCTCGGGGACAGATACAACAGCGGTAGTTTCGACTACAGCAACGTCGGTGACAATATCGCCGTTCTCTTCCGGTTTCTCCTCCTGGACAGCGACGATCTCTTCCTTGACCACGGCGACTCGATTGAAGAGGGGTGTGGAGAAATAGGATGTCGCGACATAGAGAATATAGAGGATAGGAATCAGCCACTTTGCTTCGCTTTTTGGGACCTGCGAAGGGGGTTAAAGAGGATATCTGAGCGCGGGGAGGGAGAAGACTGACGACTTGGAGGAAGAGATAGACTACAATACGGTATAGAGTAGAGACGGCGGAGCTAGCGGTGGCCAGGGTGGCCGACATTGTATATTCAGGGCCTGTCGTGTCGCGGTCGTATGTGCTGGTCGGAGGGGAGATGGAGGAGGGGGGGGGAGCGGGGGGTGATGTCAAGGTGGGCTGGACGCGGTGGTGCTGGGCTCGCGTGGCCCCGTTGCGGTTCTCGATCCGGACGGATTGCAACCGCCCAACCGCGGACACTCCCATCGCCATCTCCTCCCGACGGTCATCGTCTTCGTCTTCTCCTCGCCCCCACCTCACGATATCTTATGTGTTTCTAACGGTCTCTGCATGTCCACCATCTCCGCCGTCTACAGTACCCCCCCTCTCTGAACGTCTCCGACGTCCTCGGCCAGGTTGATTAACGCGGCACTCGCGCCCTTTTCCCGCCGGTCCTCACACTCACTACTGCACACCCGCCATCATGGAGACTCTCTTTGGAAAACGCAAGAATAGACCCCGCCAATCCTCCATCGCTGCCCAGGAGGGCAACGAACGTTTGCGCCCTACCTCTAGTGCTTCTGTCGCCACTTCCCGCTCAGAATCCACTCGCGGCTCTCGCTATGCCGCTTCTATATCTCCCTTCGAGCCTCACCATCACCACCTCTCCAATCTGTACAAGCATACCTCCCCGACAGAAGAGTTCAACTTCACCCGCCCGGAGAATGACGAGGAAATTGAGGTCCTCTTCGAGAACATCATGCGCATGCGCGGGCTGGACGACATCCCCCACCTTTCCATCGAGCAGAAGTGGCACATCGTATACAACGACGAACAGATGCGCTGGGGTGAGGAACGCAAGCGCGAGGAGCAGGCTCGCAAGCAGACAGAGTCAGGCCAACCCGCTGCATTCGTCGAGGGCACTCCGGAGTGGTACATCAAGAAGTTCATGGATCGGACCATCACCCCCAAGCAAGCATCGAGCTTGCAAGTGTCCCTGCGAAGCAAGGAGATGAGGTTCGTGCCCCTGACATATTACATCTGCTGCTTGACCCACAGGCGCTCTCGGCTTCGCAGCTGGTTTCGGCACTTTGTTGAGTTACAGGGAACCTCCGTACTCGGGCAAGCGCTCCAGAATATTAGCCGTAAAGGGGTACAGAGGTGAGTCCAGTAACACATCATACAGTTCAACATCTCAATATCAGAACAGGCGGAAGGAGGACATCGAGTTGGAGAATGAGATAGCGAAATGCCTCAGGCAGATTTTCAATCACCACGTACGTTCTGTCTTGTTTAACCCTCGCCCATGTATACTCATAAATTTACCTAGTTCGCCGCGAACGACGCCCTCGGCCATCCTACGATCTTGACCCAAGTAGCGTCCGCCCTCAACACTCCACACCTACCTACCAGGAAGCTCCTATTGGATTTACTGTCTTTCGCGGAATACCACAACGATGGCCAATATCACAATATGGTCGTCAGCGCGCTCGAATCCCTCAGCGCCGCCAACAACGAGGCCGGGAACCCATACGCGTTCTGGTTCAAGTCGCTAGAGAGTGCTCTCGCGGGCAGAGGAAGGATGGGCACGCTCGTCGGCGCGAGCGACGAGGTCAAGCGACATGGCGGTATGGATACCTCGCTGAACGACTACACGGTGCGTGCCCGTCCCTCTCCCGCCCTCTAGGCACCAACGTCCCCCAACTCATTCGTATGTCCCCGTAGCTCGCGAACGTCATCTTCATCAACGCAATCATGGAGCACATCGACGACCTCGACATCCGCGTGCACCACCGTGCGCAAATGGAGGCCGCGGGCCTGCAGAGCATACTCGAACACTGCCGCTCGTACGGCGTCGCGGTCATCGACAAGCAGCTCCAGATACTGCAGGCCCTACTCGACGACGACGAGGCGAAGCTCAAGGAGCGCGTCGACCAGGAGATCCTTAAGGACCTCGCGAACCCGGAGGACGTCTACAACGCGCTCCGCGCCAAGACGGCCGACTCAAAGGCCAAGGACCACTTCTTGTCCATCATGCAACACCTGCTGCTCATCCGCGAGGAGGGCCCCGCGCTCGGGCACTACTACCAACTCATCGACTCGCTCGTCGCCGACGTCGTGCTCGACAAGAAGCTCGTCGGGGCCGAGCAGCGCCTCGGGCAATCGGTCGAGCGCATTATTGCGCAGTTCAACGAGGCGGACCGGCACCAGTACCTCGAGGACGAGCTCGTCAAGGCGAACGCCGCCGCACTGCGCTTCCGCCTCGAGAAGGAGGCGCTCGAAGAGGAGGTCGCGCAGGGCGAGGGCGGGCTCGTCGGCTCGCTCAAGAGCAAGGTCGCGCGGCTCGAGGAGAAGCTGGCTATCTCGCGCGAGAACACGCAGAAGCTTCAGGGCCAGATGGAGGTGCAGAAAGCGGGCTATGAGGAGCAGATCGCCCAGCTGGAAGCGCAGATCATGGAGCTCTTCCGGATGCTCAAGGAGGTGTCGAAGGGGGTGGGCAAGATCATTGACCACGCGAACGCCGGCGGTATGGACCGCAAGACCCTCATTGATACGCTCGAGAAACACTTCCAGCGCGACAAGACGATCAGCATCCTTGAAGGTCGAAACAAGCGTGGCGAGGGCGAAGCTGGGGACGGGACTGGAGATGAAGAGACCCCGAAGAAGAGTGGCAGCTTACGCAGAAATCAGCCCTCGACAAGAGGGCGGAAGCCGTCGCGCATGGAGAGGATCTCGGAGGCTCAGAACGGACGTTCGTCTCAGTTCATGGATGCAGACGATGAGATCGAGCAAGAGCAGATTCAGCAGCAGATTGCCGAAGGCGCTATGGTTTGTGTGCCGCCCATTGATCTCGCCGTGTACTCAACAGTCCTTGCAGATCAACGTGCGCGATGGGGCGTCTTCAAGCCCAAGAAGCGCTCGAACGCCTTCAAAGAGGAATAAGAATCTTCCCAGGACACCTCTTGGTAGTGCGTGATTCCCTTTTCGAGGATCTCAGTATCTCTTAGCTCAAGTTCTTGCAGCTCATTTCGTTCCCGACTCGGATGCTCGTAGCGTCTCGCTGGCCGAGACGACAGACGAATTCGATGGCGATAGCGAGTTGCGTAGGTCAGGTTCGACGCGTAGCGTCTCCTCTAATCAGACGACCGAGGCGACATCGGTCAGTTCAAATTTGTCAGTAGACACGAACGGGAAGGACTCGCCCGATCAGCCTCAATCTCTGGCAGAGCAGCTACGGAGACATCTCACTAAGAGAGGCCGTCCACCGTCTATGCCCAGTCCGCTCAATTCACCTATTCCCGAGGAACCTGTTCCTCCCCTCCCTCCGCCTCCTCCTCCGCCGCCAGAGGCTGCTGTTGCTCCCCCAGGTCCCCCTCCACCGCCGCCGCCGCCGCCGCCACCACCACCACCACCTCCTCCTCCTCCCCCAGGTGCCAAAGGCATGTTTGGCGGAGCCCCCCCGCCTCCGCCACCACCCCCAGGCGCCCCGCCACCACCGCCTCCTCCCCCAGGAGGCAGAATCCCCTCAGCACCATCTTCAGGCCCTGGCTCGGCGCGCACGTCGCTGCTGGGCTCGAACATCCAGAACCTGCTCGCGGCGCGCAAAGACATGTCGATCACGCCGAGTACGAAGATGAAGCAGCTGCAGTGGGACAAGCTGCCACTGCAGCAGGCAGAGAAGACGGTGTTCAAGGAGCCGACAAGGGAGGACGAATGGGTGAAGAAGCTCCAGTTGGACGGCGTGTGGACGGAGATGGAGGAGGACTTCAAGGCGAAGCAGCTCGTCATCAACTTGATGGGTGTGTGCAGAACGACTTGTGATCTCACCGGTGTGGATGTACTCACGAAGTCATACAGCGAAGCAGAAACGCGCGGAGCTCAAGTCCGTGCTCGACCCGCAAACCAAGAAGCGAGTCGGTGAGTAGAGTCAGCAGGATAGGTACTCATCGATCCACTCACGCCCTTGTGCAGAGATTCTCATCCAGACCGTCAAGAAGTTACAGCCCGAGGAGCTCGCTCTCCGCATTCGCGACTTCGATCAGGAGGTCTGCACTCAGGTGTTCCTGAGCGAGCTAAAACCCGTGCTCCCCAATCCAGAGCAGGTCAGTGCTTCTGCTTTGCTCGTTTCCAACGAGGACTTACGTACTGCTCATTAGGTGGGAAAGCTCAATGTCTACCGCAACGCGGAACCCGAAGAGCTTGCAGGCTTGCATCCCTCAGATCGACTCATGGTTCAGCTTATCAAGATCGACCGGCTTGGGCCTCGCATAGAAGGCATGTTGTACAGATGCGTCTTCGATGAGACGTGGAGCCTCCTCGACGATGTGAGTGCTACGTATGATTGGAGTTTTGCTTCCGTTGCTAACTTCAAGGCAGAGCGCGCGCAAGCTATCACAAGCCGGGAAATCGCTCCTAGAGGCCAAACACTTCAAGGAGTTACTCAGTGTGAATACTTTACGCATGTCTCCATAACTGAGGACAAAAGCTGACTTCCTTGGTTAGTTGATTCTACTGATAGGTAACTACATGAACGGCACCGGTGTCAAAGGTGGCGCGTTCGGTTTCCGTGTCAGCAGTATCAACAAGCTTGTCGACACCAAGTCCCTACACAACACTACGCTCCTTCACTTCCTCGAGAGGACAGTTGCGAAGCACTTCCCTGATATGGAGGCCTTCCTAGACGAACTTGCTGCGCCCGCCGAAGCGTACAGAGGTGAGTTGTTCAGCATTGTCGTTGGATCTTCAAATACGTGTCTCACAACCGGACAGTCAACTTGCAGGACGTCCGGAAAAGTCTTGGCGAATTGCGAGAAGGCCTGAAGAAGATTCGCAAGGAGCTAACTGATCACTTCTCCAATATGGATATGAACGACAAGTATGGCAAGCAGATGTGGTCCTTCGTGGGCAAAGCGACTAGTCAATTGGAGGATCTTGTCGATGACGTCAACCATGCCGAATCCACCTTCTCCGAGGTCGTCAAATATTACGGAGAGGACGAGAAGAACATGAACTCCGCTGAGTTCTATGGTATCTTTAAGACTTTCGTGACTTCTTATAAGGTTTGTCACTCCCGATTGCATCATTTGCACGCTCCTCATCCCGTCCGCAGAAATGTCGGTCGGAAAATATATCGATTCAAGAGGAACGCGAAGGGGTGGAGAAGCGCAGGCAGGCAGCGGAAGATGCCCGAGCCAACAAGCTCAGGCAACAGGAGATTACCCCGAACCAGACTGAGGAAGACACCGCCGCGCTAGATAACCTACTGGCGAAGCTGCGGAACGGAGATACCGTCGGCCGCAAAGCTCGTCGGACACGGAAGAGCGGCGCAGCACGACAGACGAATGCACCACTCACCCTCAACACGGATGTCCTCCTCACCGCCAAGTCGGGCGACGAGACCGTCGACATCGCCCGCGACATGCTTATGCGTCTCAAGTCGGACGGTTTTGACGCCTTGACGCCGTCAACACCGACAGTTGCAAGCATGCGGAGGTCGAGACGAAAGAGGGACTCCGAGGGAGTGGCAGCATTGGCTGCGCTGGAGGAGAGCATATCGCCGGGCGGGATCTCGCGAGAAGACTCTGAATCCTCCCAACCCTCGGTCACGTTGGACTCAATAGAAGAGCATCCTACCCCTACAGATTCTGGTTAGCTGTATTGTGGACCATGGCTCCGTTTACCACACGCATGTTGTATACCCGCGACATTGTATAGCTTATTGCTCTCGACATTGCTGCTTAGTTCTTCTCTTAGTCTACATCTGTACTTCCATTCACATTTCCTGTCTCCCTCATCTCGCCGAATCGGTGTAAGCACAGTGAATCGTTTGGCCAAGATGCCATACAACAATGAAAGCGAGACTACGCTACGAGACGGGCCCTTCAGAGTTTCGAACCATGTTCGTTCAGCCATTGAGTCAACTCTCCCGTGGAACGCTAGTCATGCTAGTCAGCAAGGTAGTGCGGCATGGATCTCAGGAGTGCATACCTTCACCCATGCCGCACGAGCCTTGATCGAGTCGAGGGTTTGCTTGAGCGCCATATCGAACTTGGACGTGTCTTTGCCCTGCAATCAAATATTGTTTGATCAGACCGTTCGATACTCGAGGGGATACATACCTTGAAAAAGGCTGATGTCTCTTCGTAGTCTTTTTCGGAAGACAGCCCCGTAAAGCAGATCTATGGAACGAGAAGTCAGTTATGCTTGGGTCTGCTTAGAGGCGCAATTTCCTACCTCGGTCCATCGGATGAGGCCGAAGTTACCAGCGTAACGCTTCTCAAACTGAATCGACAAAGTTGGTCAGCCCAACTACTACCCATCAGGATGAAGGCCACTCACGGTCGCAAAGTGCTCCTTGAACTTTTCCGCCACGAACTTCCTAGTCACGAAATTGCGCTGCAAGCCACCAGCAAAGTAGAACGTGTCTTGATCACGGGCCTCGTTCAAGATGAACTGGAAAGTCTCTTCCGCAAGCCCCAGGTCCTTGCTGGCACCCATTGCCCTCATTGCTGAGAGGCCTTGGTAGGGGTTCTTAGGTGCTAGAACAATGCGCTTGATAGCCTCCCACTCCAATCGGCCACCTTCGCGGACAGCCTAGTGATGTACGATGAATCAAGTCCTTCTGCGAAGGTCCACCGGTGGTACTCACGGTCCTGAATACCACGCCGGTCAAGTCGCTGGGTATCTTGGAGTCGTCTCCGGTCTTCAGGAAGTGATCAAAGCGACTGGTAAGTTCCTTCACGACCCTGACGTTCGTCCAACGTGAGTGGAGATTACGAGTAACGTCCCGGACGTTGAGACGCACCAAGGATCACCTGCATCGGCAGCTTGCTCAATCGCTGTGGTCCGAAGCTGCTGGACATCATACGTGTCGGAGTCGGAATACTGGAACCCATGCTGCTTGACCAGTGGGACGAACAGTTCCTGCAAATGGTCGTCAGCGACGATTCTACAGGGCTGACTTCCTATTCCCCACCCTCCTGAGAGCATTCAGCTGATCTACAACCTGGTTGTTCTCATACCATGTTGAAACGATGGAAGAGATGTTAGTAGCGATGGCGCTCCAGACCAAGTCTGTAGCAGACACGCAATGGTAAGTAATATGTACACCAAGAACACAAAAAATACGCACGCTCTTTCTCGTTCTTCAACGCGCTGATCAGCTCTAGAGCGCTACTCACAGGCGCATAGCCCGCCTTTGCGAGGGCGAGTGCGTCGAAAACGAGGCCAATCCTGTCAGACAGCGAGAACGGAGAGTTCTCAGCCACTGCCTGCTGTCCAAGCTCGGCAAGTCGCTCAGGGGGGTATTGAGTCGCATCTGTATGCAAATCATGAGGACGCCGTCGAACATAAGGAAGGTTACCCACAGAAGCCCGTAGTGTCAGCGTTGAGCTTGTATGGCTTGCTCGTATCCAGTGGGATGAACTTTTCACGCTCGTTCAAGAGAATGTCCCTGTTGATCACCGCTTTGCCGTCTGAACCGACAGTAAGCAGGTTCACAGGAATGGTCCTAACTAACGGTCAGGTCATTCATGCTATAGCCAGCTATTCGCCCTCACCAGATCGTCTCGTTATCCTTAGGATCGGCCGGACCTGTCTCTAGGAACCTATCCTGCCTCAACTGAATACCGCCTTCCTTCTCGGTAACCGTGACGACCGGGTAGCCGATCTAACCCGGGAGCTTGCATTAGACACCGCGTATAGGAGGTCTGTCCACCTCACCTTCTTCACCCAATTGTCCATCATTTTGGGGATGTCCAGGTCTGAAGCATATAGCGTTAGAGGAATGCAGAAATTACGATTGGGACCAAGTACCTGTTGCAGCTTGGATGCCCTCCCAAAGGTCTTTCGTGACACTGTTCTTGTAAGTATGCTTCTTGAGGTATATGGAGACCCCTTTGAGGAATCGGTCCTCCCCGACGTAACTCGCCAGCATGTTGAGCACTGTAGTGTTGTCACCTGCTGCATTCTCGCAACCCACCGTTATTGGTCACCTACCTGAGGCTGCCTTCGCATATGAGAGAGAATCGAATATCTATGCCGAAAGTCATCTAGCAATAGCATGGTTGATTAGTGATCAGCAGTATCTTACCTGGTTGATCATATTCGCATCAGGACACTCCACCTCGATGGGATGTGAAGAAAGCTTGGCATCCAACGAACGAGCTCGGAAGAAGTTCGTGGTCAAGAACTCGGAGTCCAATTTCCACTCCGGGAACACCCTACCACCACCACCTTTAGTATGGGCTCATATGTGCGTGTGTAGGACGCAACTTGTCTGTGAACGACTTCGTAAGGGCCAAAGCATTGATCGAGGAATAACCACAACGTACCAAGAATGATTTTCTCCCCCATCTGTGAATATCGAAGGCATGTCAGGTTTGTGCGCTATCATATCAAAAAAATGACCTCACAAGTGTTGCGAAGCCTGGTCTGAAGCATTAGCTCGTTGAAGTATCTTGCGGCGAAGAACAATACCCACCTTCGTTCAAGTAGAGATTATCCCACCACTCCATCGTTGTGATGTTGCCGAACCTGACGGCCAGTTACATCTCATACTAGTCTCGGGAAGTCCAAGAAAGCTGACCACATATGTGCGACCTCGTGGCTTTGAGTAGTCGCAATGTTCTGCTTGGAGTGGATGTCTGCAGAGGCTGGATCTAACAAGAAAGCGGTGGTCCTTCCGGTAATCAGGCCCTGAAGAGCAGAAATTAATTTGCCTACTCGATCGTGAAGACCTTGTGGTATACCCAATTCTCCATTGCACCTGACCATCAGATTTAGTTTTCTCGATGTGATAGCGTTGTTACCATCTCCATAAGCGACATACCTGCGTCGAAGTCGTTTGCCTGGAAGTAGTATTGGAAGCTACCATCATTACATCAACGCAACAGACTCACCACTAGAGTGTCGAGCTTCGGCAAGGGGTACTCGATGTCAAATACTTGCTCGTACAGCGGAAGAACCTTTCGCTTGATATCAAGCGCGAATTGCGCCTGGGAGATGACGTCCGGGGTCGCTATAAATAGTGTCACGTCAAACCAATGAGATCACACGGTACCCCCTCAGCCGTTGTACATACTATAGATACGAAGAGGCCGGACCTTGCCACTGAGTGGGCTCTTGTAGGAGTCTTCCAAGTACACGAACGGACCATTGGCGTAAGCGACGAGGTAAGTCGACACCTACACGGTACAGTATCGAGCGTCAGAACAATAGAAAGCCGCCAACGTACCATACAGAACTTACGGGAGGCGTTGTGTCGAAACGCGTAACCTTCCACTGGCCTGCGGCGTCAGGCAATGACGCCATCTTCTTCGCGAGCCAAGAGTCCTGATCGACGCTATCTGGTCTGTACACTTCTTCCGAGATAACCGGCATGTTGCTCAGGTTGACGGAGTTCACTCGAGAGACAAGCGTGACCGCAGCCGTGGCCTTGAGCAGCGGCTCATCCCAGCACGGAAACGCCCTCCTAGCGGCGGTGGGCTACGAACAATAACAATCCGTCAAAATATCGGACAAATATAAAGACAGGCAGGATTGTACCTCAAACTGAGTCAATGTGTACTTGAACTCGCCAGTCTTGCCGCCCGTGGACCGGTAATAGCCCATCATGTCCCCCGTCAGCTCCCCCTTGAAGGGGATGGACAAGCGGGCCTGAGACTTAGCCGGAAGAGCTTTAGAAAAGTAGAAAGTCCCGCGCTCGGTTTTCTCGTCAAACTCCCGAGTGTGCTCGTTCTGAACGCTTTGCAAGGCATTCGAGTGGAGCGAAGCCTCGCCCAGCTCCAAGTTCGCGGTGTTCAGGACGACCTTGGAAGTCTCCTTCATAACCTGCAAGCTACGCCACGTATCAGTGATGCGCGAATAACGGACAAGGTACAGACGACTAACTCCACATGGACGATTCCTTCGAACTTGTTGGTCTCGAGGTCGGTCCAGACGGTAAGGTCATAGTGAGTCGGTTTCAGGTCTGTGGGCAGACGCAGATCGCTGGCATCCTTAGGCGCGGCACTGGAAGAAGGCATGCTGTAGGAGACTGAAGTAGTGTAGCAGTTCCTGGTATGCAGGAGCGGTACGGTCCGTGCTTGTTTTTCTGTAACGGAATGGCTACGCTTGGAGGAACGTGTGGAAAGGAGCCGTGGATTAGCAACAGTCGTAGTAGGGGTGACAACGAATGAGGAAGATTGTGTTGGTAGTGGGGAAGCACGAGACAGGGACGGCTGCGGACGAACGAGAAGGCGGAGATTGCGTGTGCAGGGCTTCATACCGAGGAGCCTTTTATACTATCGGGACAAATCAGGCAGTGACAGGGAGATGTAGGTGTCTATGTACGGATCTCCTCGGCCATCGCCGTCTTGCTAGGCCTCTCGGTTCGCCAGGCGGCCAAAGCGCGCAACTTCCGGTAGGAACCATCACACACTGTGCAGCCAGAACATATTGCGCAGCACCCTGAACCCAACGCCCTTAACCGAACACCGAATATGCACACTGACTCCACCAGGCGGAAGATCTTTGGTACTAGCAGAGTACTTAGATACACACATATCTACGTCGACAGAACTTCTCATACTCCTGATTCCACGACGATCGACGTCCAAAGAGTTCCGGAGCAACAATAGTGCAGTCCATAGACTGCATCCGGTATAAGAGGTCGTAGGAAAGGACGGAAGCAGGGGGGCGGAAGCCTCACAAGAGCATAAAGCGAAGTTTTACAGCAAAAGTACTAAACAAAATGACGTGCATGTAATAAACGGATGGAACGTGCTGCAGAGGCTGAGTCCTGGAAACGGGTAATATGACGAGCATTGGCGAGAGGATAGAGGTGGGGAGAGCGGGACGACGGAAAAGCAAACTGAGACCAAAGTACTCTACTCCTGACCGAAACCGACCGTTTCCCTGAGACACCAACGTCGTCAATACCAAAGACAGATGAAGAGAAACAAGGTCGCTTACTCTACGGCCCATGTCAGCTTCTGCTCCAGTGTCTCGTAGTCCTTGTACGGCGGAAGGTCGATACGGTTGAAGCACGTGTGACTCTTCGGCAGCTGGTTCGGGTCGCCCGACTTCTCGATTGTGAAGCGCCTCGGGCCATCCGAGCCCTGCAAGTCCTTGAAGCCGTTGACGGGTATACGCGACGTACCCGTCGCGAACTGAAGCAACCGCGACTTGCGTTCCGGCGGCCAGCTGCGCACACACTTCCAGAACCACTGCACGACCTCGTCGTTGACCTCATAGCCGCGATAGTCGGTGAACTTGATCCAGTCGTCGCTGTAGGGTGCCTGATGAGCACCGCATCTTTCAAGGTAGACAAAGCGCTGCTTACACATCAATCTCGGACATGCCGCCAATGAGTAGCTCGAGCTCGCGCTCGTCGAACACGTTGATGAGTTCCTGAGGGATCAGCTCAGAGAAGCCAGACATAAAGGCGTCGAACTGCTCCTTGACGCGCTTCGAGATACGGTACTCGACGATCGCGTTGACGTAATCCTTCTTGTTCTCCTCGGTAACCGGGATGTCTGCTCCTCCGGGCTTGAGCTCGACGGTAACCATTTCGCCGAAACGCTCCTCAGTCGTGGTAAACGTCTCGTCGATGACGTCGGTGATGTCGTTCTCACTGAAGAATGCGTCAAACCACCGAACAAGAGTGAGAAGCAAGCATACGCACAGCATCCAGGTGAGACCACGGTGGAGCTCCGCATCAACGCTCTCGAGGTCGGCGAGGGTGACCTTCTTGCGGAGAATCATCTTGTAGAACGCAGTGACGAAGTACGCGTCCAAGAAGCGGCGGTGGAAGATGCCGAGGCCCAAGCAGCGACCAATGAACTTGAAGTAGTTCAAGTGCTCAGGGTTGACGCCGGACGCCGGGTTAATCTGAAGAGTGTAATTGTCGTGCGCGGAGTACTCGAACAGACAGTAGAAAGGATTGAACATCTCGTGCGAGAGCAGGAAGAAAAACTCCCTAATTCTATGTCAGCGATCCCATTCGAGGGCGCTTCAGGAGACGACGCACCTAGAAAGACCTCCGTAGTCCAAACCATCTTCGCCCTCGAACTTGATCATCAACCTCTTCTTGAGGTCGTTCGGAGTCTGACGCATGATCTCCGCGTACGAGTCCTCGAAGATGTGGTTCCGCCGGACCTTGATCTGGCAGTTGCCGGGCTGATTGCGCATCGCCGGCTGGGACCGGAAGTAGATGAGCTTCCTGCGGAAGTCACGCTTGTACTGCGGCACGTTCGCGTCGAGCGTAGACGGCAGACGTGGATCGTCCCAGGTAGTCGTCTTCGTGTTGTGATCCACGAAGTACACCCTCGCTGTCGAAGTGAGACGCATCTCCCATCCAGACGGAAGTGGCCCGAGCTGCGAGATCGTCTGGGGTTGCAACGACGAGTTCTGGCCGTTGGGGCCCATGACTCGAATAACGGTCTGCCGGCGGGGATCGACCCAGGTCGTGGTCCTCGTGTTGTGGTCGACGTAGTAGGGGCGACCCTGAAGAGTGTGGCGCTCCTCCCACCCAGCAGGCAGAGGACCGAGACCGCCAGAGGCAGAGGCGGCAGTGGCGGCCGCGTTGGCCTGCTCTTGACCAGTGACAGAGCCAGTGCGGCCAACACCAGTATTGTTGGCCTCCAGCATATCGTCCGCGAGGATGCGACGATTGTGCTGATTGCGGGCAGCGTTGGTCTCACCATCCTGGGCGTGGGTATTGACGGTCTGGTTGGAGGAGGGACGAGTCCAAGTGGTCGTGCGTGTGTTGTGATCAACATAGTAGGTCCTTCCGAGCGGATCGATTCGGCGCTCCCATCCTTGGGGAAGAGGGCCGTACTGATCCTCGTGAGGGTTAAAGTTGCGGGTCGCAGCATTGTTGTTGGACGCCGTGTGCGCAGTTGCACTCGCATTGGTCGTGGTAGGCGGGGCCGGAGTTTGAGACTGTACAGTTCCAGCGGTGCTGACAGGTCGGGAGACGGTCTGGGAGGGCTCGCTCTCTGTCGTGGTTGGTGCGACATGAGGAACAGGCATCGTAACGTGTGCGTCTTGGACGGGGCTTTGTGCGTTGGCGCTGGGCGTGCGAGAAAGAGTAGTTCCCGCAGCCAGATTCGTAGTGCTCGCACTAGCCGAGTTCCCAGTCACGGATAGGCTGCTTAGCGCCTCGGTCACCCCGCTAACTTGAGAAGGGCCTGGGTTGCTAATCGGCTGGCTGACATTAGTAGAGAGATAGATGATGAGCTTCCCGTGAACAACGAGGTTGTCGTTCGACTTCTTCAAGTCAAGGGTGAGCATCTCTGCAGAGCAAGCCGTAAGTGCGCTGCCCGCAAAAACTAACACAAGGGGCCCATCCGCAGTATACTCGTGCTCGGTGGTGTGATGAGCCGCACATCTGACGAAGGACTAGGAGCATGACTGCGCTACACGAGGAGACGGTTCGTCCCTACTGTCATGAGCGTCCGCACCTCCTCACCGAAGGATGGCCACGCTTGGCCATGCTCCGAGCCAAGCTCACAATGTGCGCGTGCCCTTCTGCGGGAAAGCCCCGTATATGCAAATTGACATACCATGGCCTCCCAACTCCAAGTCGATGACATCGCTGACTTTCACGTTCACGACACCCAGGAAACCCTGATCCCGCTTCTTGAACTTGCGCTGGTCGAAGATCTGGACGGCAATGACGGAGCTCTCCTTCACCGTGCTGTGAAAGACTCAGTAAGGCACATCACCGTCTGGTGGAGATACTCACATATCGAAGCTCTCATTCCAGTAGGGGTTGAGCGTCTTTTTCATGACGCTAGTCGTGTGGGTCTGCTCGGCATCGACAGTGATTACGGCGAAAGGATCCGGAAGGCGAAAGACTTCGCGTTTGGACAAACCATCGGCAGCGACGACTGTACACGAATGAGGACCGAGCTGTATTGAGATGAGAGACGAACATACCCGTAATCCTGATGCGCTTCCTGGGGCGGGGGTCAGGCACGCTTGGAAGAAAGAGGACAACAACGAGACGTACGGGCCACTTTGGGTTGCCGACATGGCGTTAGAGGCGAGGAAAGACGGACCTCAGGAAGAAGCTATATAGCCAGACGGGACGGAGGGAGGAAGGGGGTGCGTACGGGAAGTGATGGTCGTTGTAAGAGGCTGTCGGCCGCCGCTCCCACAGCCTCAGGCGCCTATTTCCATGTGCCTCTCCACCGGCCCCGGCGCGGCCATGCGCTCCCCGCCGCCGACCGTATCTCCGTACAGTGTCCACGCAGCGTGGTCTACTAACTCCAAACGCTACACATCTATTTCTTTGCTGTCCTTGAGCTTCTGTCTTCGGCCTCACTCATTCTCCTCAGTCCGTCTCACGAGCACCACTTCTCCCGCCCCTCAGTGTCATGTCCTCTATATATCTTACATATCTTCCAACCAGTATGGTCCTAGACGAGGGCAGATATCAAGGCAACAGGGTTTGCCCGATACATGCACAGTCATCCAAATACATCATCGCAATGCCATCTTTACAATCTCGAAGCGCACAACAGCTGCACTTGTCAGCAAGGCGCGGGCTGCTGAATCATCATGACATTGCAGTCAATTGTCTGGACATGGAATGAGGAATGTCAGCCGCAGCCGTGTAGGTTTGTCTTTGCCCAGCGGAGTCGTCTGCAAAGAGCGCGGTGTAGGTGAGTACATTCTTTCCTTTCTCTTCTGATCCCGCTTATTGACCTCCGAGTCGTGCCTCATGGTAGGCGTCAGTTACAGTACTGTCTGCACAGGCCAGTACATTCTATCGGACGAGGACAGTGGATTGAAGGCTTACCGGTGGCCCGAGACTTCTCCTATGCGTTGTATTGACTACTTTGAGGAGCGCCGCCATCGGAACCTTGATGCTCGACCCGCCGTAGCGGGCGAAGAAGGGAGAGTTGAAGGGCGTCGACCACTAACTGACACAGGCTAGACCGGCCAGTCCAACATTGACAAAAAAAGCATAGTTCATAACATGGATTACTTGGTATGTAGCTTCTTATTACTGAAGTCGCTGTACCCCTACCGTTGACCGCCGGGAACTGATTATCCGCTGGATACTCGAGAGTTGGCAATCGTTCTCATCCGTCACCGCACATGCTTGTCACCTTGCACGACATACCCCGCCGCCGCAACCTTGTATTGAAGCTGTCGGCGACTTGTTCCCATCTCAGTGGAGCTGACACACGCAGACACAAAGGACATTCCTGGCCCTTTTTACCAAGGACCAGCATTGCACATTCTCTGGGTGATTGTCTACTAGTACTGCCCAGAGTTGGTTGAGTCTCGTCGCCGCCCGAATGTCGTATCTTCGTATCTTGAGTCACGTCGCACAAGCCGCCGGATGTCCGTTACTGGCTCTCCACGTCCCATAGCCGACAGGCCGCACGACCGCAATCGAATACACCATGCAAGCTGCGAGGCACTATGTCAAGCTACCTTGCATTGCGCGGCTGAAGAGGCTTTTTGTTGTAGTAGTATTACGATTTGGAACCCTCCCACCTAACTAGCAGTGGGCCCGCGGCGCTGGGAACTTGAAGCTGCACGCCTTACACAAATGTGTGCATGTTGGAACCCCTCGCGCACCTCATCGGGATGTCGGGCCAGTACTTCCTAGATGCTCTCGTACAACTGCTACTGCTGAGCGTGTCACGGCTCTGACTTATGCGTATGTTTTTGTTGTGAACGATGGCCGGTCTAGCCTGTGCCAGTAACGAACGAGTCTAGACGATCTTGAACATACCGTTGTGAAAAGGACCATTGCCTATGGCATACATGTTAGCCGGAGCCCCGCGGCTGACTGCCCTCCACCCTTGCCTTCGTACCACATCCCGCTAGACGTAACCTCACATTTTCAGCTGCTGTGCAGTCACATTTGTGCTTTGATCCGTTTATTTGAGATGTCTTACTCTTACAGAAAGTCCAACGTCACCGGCGGGTCCTGGTCGACGCCCTTCAACACCCCCTTCTTCGCCCGCTACGGCGAGTCGAGCATCAAGGTTCCGATAGCGGCGCTCCTCGAAGAATACAACGCGTGGGAGAAGTCTCGGGTCACCGGTAAGCCCTCAATCCACTCTCCTCGTCCGATAGAATGTACTCACCTATATCGCGCTCTTTGCAGACGACTCTGCTCGGGAGCTGCCTCCTGTCGTCAAGCCCTCTGCTGCCGACGATCCATTCGCATCGTCGGGCCCTATCGACTGGGCCGACGAAGTCGAACAAGAGCTCTTCTCCGATTGGACAACCCCCGACCACACCGACAGCAAGCCCGACGGCGAGGAGCTCGACGACCCCACCGACGACATCCTGTTCATCGTCCCAATTGAAGACCGCAGGTTCGCTGAGAGAGACAGTGGCTTCACTCTCTTTAGGATCCTGCAAGAGGCAGAGGTTGAGGAGACCGATGGAGTCAAACTTACCGTTGCTGAAGCCGACTCGACTCCGACCAATCTGACCGACCCGACTCCTCCGACCCCTCCAACCCCTTCAACCGACTTCATGCCTCTGGCCCCTTCCACTGATCTCGGTCTTGCAACTGCCTCGACTTCGACTTCGACGGACATCGACAGCGATTCCGACACTGACACCGACATCGACACCGACATCGACACCGACCGACCCGTCTTCCAAATCCTCAACTGCAACGCGACCCACAACGGCGTCAACATCGACACCCTCGACATCGATGACCCCGACTTCGACCCGGCCAACGAATTCTGCACAATGCTGCAATACCTGTCCGCAACCGGGCTCCTCCGACTCGACACGTACGCGACCATTTTCGACGCTGCGGCACGACACTGCGCATCTGGCCACCCCTTCTGGCTGAACGAACGACCGGCCCCTAGTGTGATCGTCCTCTGAACTTGACTTCGGCAAGGTTTTCATCTGCGAACTGGCGACTGGCAACTCAGGGCGACTTGGGACTGGCGACTGGCAGCTGGCGACTTCGGATCTGGGACCGGCGACTTGGGACTTGGAACTGGGGACTTGGCACTCGACACAACAAACAGCCCGGCGACGTGCGCGGTGGGGTGGCTACCTACCGTTCGCTGACCCGCGTGGCTGGGACTTGGGACTTGGCGACTGCACGGACTGTAGGACTGAAGACTCGAGGACTCGGCGTGAACAGTTACTTGACCGGCTCTGCTGTCCGATGTGTCTTTTGTATGTTTGAGATCCATCGTGTGTCGCGCGCTTCCTAGTAGTAGTTCTCTTGCAGCAGTAGTAGCGCGTAGTTACGCAAACCGCCATGTAGTCTCTGAAGTACTTAGGTAGTCTTGTAGCTATGCCTACGTCACGAGACGGTATGCAGGCGATGCTGCGAGCTATCCCTACATACACGTCACGCTACGTAGGCATAGTGTAGGTTGCGTCGTCTACGTCTTTGAAGAGGCCGCCGTTCGCGTATACGTGGCGCACGCTCGGGGGCCTTTTCCATGCGGCACCGCGCTTGTCACAAGCAGAGATGGGGGTTGCATCCGTTGGATTTGGATCGCCATTCGTCGCCGCGTTTGGAATTTATCGACCACGCAAACGGCCTAGGTAGCACAAAACCGTCCGGTTGTGTGAATGGTGGTAGACATACATTTGGTCAACGCTATGCACTAGCCAGTCATGCTCCAGTAGTTGTGTAGCCGACCAACGTCGTTGTGGATCGATGACAAGCGTGAGCGCTAATCTCATTGTCTGCGGTCGTGTTGAAACTTGAGATCAGTTTGTAAATACGTCAACCTCTGTAGATGGTCCAAAATAGACCATCGAAACAGCCCCGAACCATGGAGCAGGTGGCCTGACGTGAGAATTTGGAAAAGTCAGCCGTCTGCTCGGAGGCTCGCAGCAGCATAAGTTGCGCAGCCGTTGCTAAAGTAGTGCCCAGCGAACCCCCCCCTTCTACAAGGAGCTGCTTTTGATAGCAATGGTAGGGCAGTGCGTATCGGCGCCGAACTCTGTGAGCTTGAACATGAGACGCGATAGTTCGCTCTACGTCACTATTTCCTCCTTCTCTCCGCTCTGGGAGGGGCAGCTGATGATAAGGATGTTATAAGGTCTGTTGCAGGTTGGGGGATATGATCCTTGTTGCCGACCGCATTGGGCTGAAAGCGGCGATCGTTTGATGCGCCACTGGATCCAACGGCGCGGTCGAGGCCTTTGACTAGGCTCGAGACCAGCCGAGATTCGGTGATGGAGATTCATGCTCCGCTGAGAGGATCACCGAACGGCTGGTCAAACTGGAAGCCATCGTGGCAGGGGGTCCAGATTAGGAAGGCGTGTGAAAACGTACTTGGCAAAATCGCGTGCAGCCTCCTAGGGAACGAGAGGAACCTATCCTCTACTCTCCCAACCGCCATTGGCGACACAAAGCCCACGGCTCTCTCACCCATCTCCCACACAGCGATATACCAATGTCGGGCAGCCTCCTCACTGTTGGAATCCTGGCGTCAAGATGGCGAGCTCGCGGAACGAGCGCCACAGGTCCCGCCCCCCGACGGATACCCGCGCCCTTATCTACCCCTATTTAGCTACGTATATAAGCCTTATTGTATCTACTGTGTACGGCACGCGTTTGCACCGGCCAAACGCGAATCCCATTTGTGCCCGCTTGCCCTCGAACTTCTACACAAACGCGTCTCCTCTGCCCGAAGGATAATTCGAGGCACTGCCTAGTGGGGCCGAAGCCACTCGACGATCCCACGAACCGACGACCCGTGACGACGACCGACCCGACGACGACCGACCCGACGACGACCCCGTGCACCCCGACGACCCCGTAACCGCGACCGCCCCGCGCTCCCCGCTGCTCCCGCCCCGATGGCACCGCCCACAATTGCGAAGCTCGCCGACGACAACTACGCCGAATGGGTTATCGGCATGGAGGCCCTCCTTGTTCGCAAGGGTCTCTGGGAGGTTACGAGCGCCCCTGCTGATGAAACCCGCCCCTCCGGCTCTGATAACACGAAGGCTGTGCGTGCCTGGCGTGCGAAGATCGCAGAAGCGCGCGCCGAGATTATCTTGAATATCGAGCCCACCCAGTACGCCCACATCCAATCACAAGACGTTCACGAAGTCTGGACCGAGCTCCGTCGAGTCCACCGCGCCCGCGGCTTTGGTACCCGGGTCGCACACCGGCGCGCTTTCTGGCGCTTGTCTAAGCGCCCGGATCAAACGATGACATCGTGGATTGCTGACGTCCGCCGGGCCGCCTTCCGCCTCGAGGAGATTGACGCCTCTATCTCCGATGAAGACCGCATCCTCGTTCTCACGAATGGCCTCCCCGATTCGTATTCCCAGCTGGTCGTTAATCTCGACTCCACCCCGCCTAGCGAGCTTACCATCGATTACGTCATCACCCGCTTACTTAACGAAGAGTCGCGCCAATTGTCCCTCAACCCGCCTCATCATGACTCCGAAGTCGCCCTCGCTGCTTACACGAAGCCCCGCACCCCAGCTCGAGCGCATCACCTGCTTCAAGTGCTCAAAGAAGGGCCACTATCAGCGCGACTGCCCAGAGCTCAAGACTGAAGAGGCCAACTGCGCATTTTCGGCAACCGTTAGCGCCGATCGGCTTCTTGCCGAGAAGGAGACGGAAGCGTGGTAAACGCCCCGATTAAGGGGATGTATTAGACTTATCGTACGTTATCCCTTATTTGTGCGGACACAACCCCTCCTTCCTTGCTCGCTGTTTCCCTTATCCCCGCCCCGTTCAATTTGTTTGTTACCCTTCGCTCGTTGCCCGCGCTCGCTCGAGGGGATGTGTTGGAATCCTGGCGTCAAGATGGCGAGCTCGCGGAACGAGCGCCACAGGTCCCGCCCCCCGACGGATACCCGCGCCCTTATCTACCCCTATTTAGCTACGTATATAAGCCTTATTGTATCTACTGTGTACGGCACGCGTTTGCACCGGCCAAACGCGAATCCCATTTGTGCCCGCTTGCCCTCGAACTTCTACACTCACAACTATCCATACCTGTGATTACTCGTAGTACATGTACATGTAGTCCTCTAATCATAATTACCCTGCCTGCGAATGGCAACCTCTCGGACGGGAGATGATTGGATGGCGCAATGAAGTATTCTTCCTGGGAAGGAGAAGGGGTTGAGGGGGCCTCGTACAGACTCCGATTCACGGCGTGGACAGTCATGGAGGACGAGGGTCTGGTTTGTACTGCGGAAGCCGAATGACTATAGACGGGGCTTACGTGCAACAGCGGCGCGAGTTCCTGACAAGTCACCGGTCGCTGATAGGCTGAGCTTGCGTCCATGTCCGCGAAGGCCACTGTGGCACCTGCGAAGGTCTCCCTCCTGGCACGGTCCGCTCCCGCTGAAGTCATCGACGTGGACGCTCCCGCTGAAGTCATCGACGTGGACGCGCTCGACTGGAGATGCTGATATCCGGGGTTGAATTGGAGAGGTGTGCTTGTCAGGCGGGGAAGCGGCGTCCGGGGTGGCGGTGGCAGGGAAAAGGGCTGAGAACGCGTGTGTTGGGGAATGTGCTGCAGCGGGACATGCTGCAAGCGAACATCCACGAGGGATGATGGCTGACGAGGGTCGTAGGTCTGGCGTTGAGCACCGTTTTGCGGGGCTTCTGTGTGTCGAAGCATAAAATGCATAGACAGAGATATTGGGGGGAGCGGAGACGACTGAGAAGGGAGTATGATTGGACGAGGGGAGTAGAGTTGGCGTACGGAGGGTTGCGGGGCGTGGATAGTGGAAGTGACGGAGTGCGGCGATGGAGTGGGCAAGGGGGATGGCGGCATGAACGAAGGCTTGTCAGCTCGAAGGTGCGCGCTGCCTAGATACGCGCCTGCGGGGCTGGGACCTGTCAAGTGTGCGGCAGACATAGAGTTGGAGATGTCCGTGGGTGACATCGCTGACTTTGACGTTGCGTTGGTGCGCATGCGCTTGGCAGTTGAGGGTGCAGCTGTGGCTGGTGGGGAAGTGGCACGCCTGGCGCGCGGCTTAAGGGGGATAAATGGGATAGTGAGCGTGGCCAGGAACGCGGTGAGCTCTGAGCCATACTTGCCCCAAAAAATCCATTTGTCTTCCAGGAGACTAGAGATCTGGGGCACGGTAAGAGGTCCACAGGATGGAAGGGTTTTGATCAAGATATTGTCGAGGATGCCAGAGGCGTCGTAAGGGGCTGAGGTGTGGTCACGGCTGTATACAGCCCTTCGCCATTCGCGAAGAGCCATAGACGTAGGACCGTGTGGTTGCCCGCGTCGGATGTTCTTGGCGCGCGACTCAGGAGGCCGCCGCAGTGGGCGAGTGGTATCTAGGAGTGTCGGGTCGCAGATGTCACAGCAGGGGACTATAGGCTCTACCAAACAAAATTCAGTGTGGGTGTCGCAAACATACGGGCATGGAAGCTGCATACTTGTAAGGGGACTCTCAAAGGCTTGGGCCCAAATGGCACGTCGACATGAAGTGCTCTGAACAAATGTCAAAAGTCCCTCATCTGCGCATTCCGGGTTCAAGGATGGCTGACGTCCTTTGGGGGGAGGATCGAGCTTGTTTGAGCCCCCACGTTCGACACCATGGGCGTGCGCGTACTCGCGAACCTCTTTCCGATCGGGCTTGGGTTCATCTGCCCTTGCTGGGGCGATTGTCTTCTTCTTGCGGGCGTCCTTTTCCTTGGCACCCATGGAAGCTGGGGGGTTTGTAATCAAATTGATAGAGTACGCACTTCTCTCCACCAAGAGGACCGCCACCCCTGTGCGACCACGCCCCCGAGCGGCCCTGCCAGCGCGCTGGATAAAGTGTGAAAATGTTGTAGGGAGTTTCCACTGCACGACGCGATCGATATCGGGAATATTACAGCCCTAGAACATCGTATGATTAGTAGCGTCATGAGGACTTGCCAATAACAAAAGTGCTACTCACCATGCCTGCGGCATCAGTACAAACTAAAATACGTATGTGTTGAACTTGGACTTATCCGGTCCGGACTACACGAGGCTATGCGTCTCCTAGCGCTTAGCTGTAGTCGCTTATGTAGTATGTTACCATATTTGGGACTGTCTGCTCGTGTACTATAGCTATGCTTCCGGACTCTTCTGGTACTGTCTAGGACAATCCGTACTACTCCAGAACGGTCTAGACAGGTCTATGCCTTACTCATCTCTTACTCAT